CCACCTAATATGTTCTACTCAAGCCATAATAATGTATTTTGAATTTGCAGTAGTTATACACAGTTTACTTATACTTACAGTTAATATTTTGAGTGGCTCATGTACTGAGTGGCTCATGTACTGAGACAACACGAGAATGGACCAAATATTATAAACTTTGATATCTCAGTCGGTAGGTTTACAGATTATATTCTGTTTCTTGTAGACCACCTGGCAGATTTGACCCAGTCTTTATAACCATCCATATATACGTCACCGAATGGAACTAGTTTAAAAGGAAATCTTATCTGTGAATATTGCCTACAGGCGAGAAAGAGGACATGCTGCCTTTCCCATCCGCCATTTTTTGTTATCGTTACCGCAAAATTTTGCAAATCGCCTTGACGTAACCGTCATGCTATAACACCGTGAATAGGGGACCATAAGTTTACACATTCCATGTGTTCGTTCATCAAAATAGTGCGATCTTAACCTCCCTAATAACTGAAATTGTTGACTCAACCAATAGAATCATTCTATGTTTGTTTATATTTGTTCACATTAATATGGAAGAAAATCGGACATTTTGCTAAAAAGATGTTATTGTAAATCTTAGAAATAATGATAAAGGTAGTATACACCACACACTCAATGGTATTGATTGTGGTTTTCAGAGACTCTCAATAGGGACTTTAAGCTTGCAATGTTTTTCACAACCTAAATGTGAATGGCGTTTCGATTTTATATGCAAGCTTAATCTCCCTAATGTTAACATTAAGGTAAGAGTGTATGTTACTCATAACATTTTCTTAGGATAACATTTCTTGAATTGATGAATATGCAAAAATTATTCTTAGCATATCATCCTTCATTTCATTATTTAAATAATCAATCTGGAGATAAACTCAAATAAGGAAGTGTGTTATAACACATCATCATATAGAAACATGTTCAATGTTTTTTCAGAAGCTGGATCAAAATATTTGTCTTACTAAAATTATTGGCAAAGGTATGATGTACTAAATTCTTGTACTGTATTTATGATTTTAATAGCACTGTACCTCGTGAATCATTACTGATAAACAAGATACAGAAAACCTGTTCAAAGTAAATGCTATAATAAGGCATCATAGAAATTATCATAAAGAGAGGTATTTAGAATTTCTTAGCAACTTACACACACACACAGGTTTAACTGCACTCAAACATTAAACAGTCAACTTGACAGGTATTCAGAATTTTTTGGGAAATGCTGCGGTTATGCTCCATTGATTAAACAGGGGATCAAACAGCAGGGGATCAAACAAGTCCAACCATTCATTTATGAAAACATTTTGAACTAACTTTATGGCACACTAATGACATCTTATATGAGTGTGCTGTACTAAAAGCATAGCCCCATTGGATCCCCTTATATTGGATTATCATAATCCTAATCCACGAGGAGTTCCTTATATATTTTAAGTGTTGAAACATGTGTTCAAGTACAATGTAACTTTGCATGAAAATTGTAAAAAAAAATGAGGGACGATGGTGAAAATGACGATTGTATTTTGAAAAAAAGCTTGTTGATGGGTGGATTAAACATGGCTTATGAGATAATCCAATTGATCTTGAAACCATTCTTTGAATTTTTCTTAAAGATTATACATTGGCCTTTCATATGCATTCATTTTTGTACAGCCAGAAACTACTAGAAAAAAATTATTTACTGTCAAAAATCTGTTGCGATACTTTCCCTCGCTCTTTCCCACGCTAAAACCCCCTAAAATTGAAAAATCGCTAAAAATTTCCCGGTGTCAAAATTACCCGTTTTACAGTATGTTGAAAAAAGGAAGAAGTTTGGTTAAAATAATAACTAAAATAAAAGAGAAAAACTTCTTTTCAACTAATACAGGATATTGTATTGTTTTATTTTGAAGGTTAAGCATGTTCAGAAAGAGGAGAAAACATGAATATGCATGAAATAATATGTCAGTGCATAGTTTTGTATTTGATGATCTAAAAATGTAAACTTTTACTGCTAAAATAGCAGCAAATTAAAATATTTTAAAATAAGTCCAACAACTTTTCTTTCAAAAGTAAACATTTTTTTTAAATTCTTAAATAAATTTTTAAGTCATGATAAATTTTATTTAGATGGTGAAACAACACATGTATTTTAAAACTTTATCCAGGACCTTTACACACCTGATAATCGGAAAAAAATGAACGAATTGGGAGTAGCTGATTTTTGCTACAAAAATTCAACGAATCTGCAAGATTCATTTTTTCACGAGAAGGTTTATGAATAAATCACTGAATGAATAGGTGCATGTTACACTTCTATTGAAGAAGGTGCACTAGCTTGCAAGAGCAAATATTTTTGTTATGAATCTACGAGTGATAGTCTATACCCCCTCCCGTAATTAATGCATAGATAAAGTAATGATCAATTAAAAGGAATGTCATTGCTGTTTTTGAAAAATGAGTTACAAAATGTTCTATGAAAATATAATCAAAATATCATGTTCATTTTTCTACCAGTGTAAACATGATTGATGTGAGTGGCTATTTGTCAAAATCTTGATAGGTGTTATCTATTAGCTATTCGAATACTGTAGGATTGTATTCACGCCTTTATAAACTGTTAACAAAGTCAATATTTCATTGGGCATTTATTCGTTGATACAACACCTGGTAATATGAGTAATTTGTGATGTCATTACGGTGGGCCGTCGTAATGGCGGGACAATTTTTCATGTTTGAGTCGTAATATCTGAGACCATCATAAAGTTAGTCTCAGGTAATAAAGACCTCAGATCAGGTATTATATCGAGTAGTAAATATCTTAGGTCTTCAGTACAAGGTATTCAAGGTACAGAAAATGTTTAAGCCTAGCCCTGCGGTATTTATCTGTCAATGTCATACCTGCTCTTCAGTCTATATTTCTTAATTACAATTAATTTATCTTTAAAACCATGTTTTAGTTTTTAAGGGCACAATCCCTGTCCATTTATCTTAGCAAGGGGCATAAAAAAGTACTCATTATGTCGTAACAACTGCTGGTCCATACATGTACATGTAAGTATATATGATGTATCTGAAAGACTGAAACATGTGCAAATCAGCAAGTTTCCATTTCAATGTAATGATTTGTCATTAATTGCACTTTTGAAAAGTGACAGCCCTTTCTTTAAAAATACTGACTTAGATTTAGTTCCTGATTTTTCTTGTTAAGATGCACGATGATCTTCATATGTACATATGAAAATTGCTCACTTACAAGATCCATTGTTCCCTGCATGTTAAACACCGAAAGAACTTTACAATTCTCAACAATGTGCATCGTCGGTTCCCACGCTCAATCACTACGTTCTACGTTCGGATAGGTCCAAAGCTTGATGAAGCAAGATGAACAATGTGTGGGTGCTTTGCAAAAATGACCATTTCTTGACAAATTAGCAACATTGCTTTTGTTTTGCTTTAAAACATTATTGTAGTTCTTATACTTAATTTGGCGGCCACTTTAATTTGGGACCAAATTGTTAAAGTCCGCCAAATAGCCTAAAGTCCCACCAAATTCCTAAATTCCCGGGGATTTGCACTGCGCAAAATTTATCACATTTTCTGGTGAATAATTTCTTTTAAAATTTGTTCAAAATCATCACTTTTGTACAATAACAACAACAATTTGTCCATTCTCAACTACTTTAAAAGAACCAGTGACAATTTACTAGTCCAACAAAAGTCAACAGATACCAACAAGGATAAAATTTGACTCATAAGTGCATCCTTTGAAATTTGTCAAATTTTTCAATATTGCAAGTCCGCCAAATTAAACAGCCGCCAAATGTTCGAAGCAGTGAATCCACCAAAATAAGAAGCGCAGAAGTACAGTATCACCCATCATATTGCAATTGATAAGTATAGATAACTACACATCCTCTGAACATGGGCAACAGGACTCATTCCTGCTTCTTCCCAAGAATGAGAAAAATATATTCTTGATCTTGCCCTGCGAGGAGGATGTAACCACATCAGTAATCTCCCCAGGATTTTTCCTCAGGTGGGTGCAAAATTCTCATTTTCACAATTCAGACTAAAATTTGTCAAAATATGCCAATTTTTCATGATTTCTTTCATTTTCAAGTGGGTACAAATATGTAGATTTTCAGGTGGGTGCTGCACCCACTTGTTTTAATGTTGGGGAGATCATTGCACATACCCCTATAGGCAATTTTTACTTGACCTGGGAGAAATGTAATAAAATGCTGGAGTATTAGATAAATCAGATTGCTATCTCAATATTTCAAATATATCAGAAGTTGTGATAAATTATTCAATTTTTTAATAATATAAAGGTGAGATGCTGGTGAATTAATTCATAAAACATAGCATAATTGGAAGGTCACATTCTATAAACCACAGTACATGTACATGTAATTTGTTTGGTAAAACCACAAATAATTAGAAATAACTAAAATTTGGGTCTTTGTTAGTATCCTTATATTAGACTTAGAATTGAATTGATTCAGATGTACCCGCTCCAGCAGGACATAGAGATATCCAGCCAAGAGTTGACAAAATTGCAAACCTATTCCATGTTCCTTAAAACATCCAAGAGTGGGATAAACAATGATTCAGCCCTCAATTTTCAAAATAAGCAGGTTCTCTAGCCTTGAAAGACCCTTGAACATGACAAAGGCCAGTATCATGAGAGAAAACATATAGGGAGGAACTTGAAAACAAGTAATCAGATGTGAATATTGGGTTTCATGTTTAGTTTAGCTCAGTTTTTTCTTGTAGCCTTGACATTGAAGTCACTGTCCTAATTCCCTTATAATAAAATATACAATAACATATATCTGACATACCGTATACATTGTACTTTTAACAACAGAATGTGACATGGCCAGAGATTGTAACATTCTTGAAATACAAAATGTAGTTCAGAGAAATGACTCTGGAGTTGTTGATTTGAATAAACATATTGATTTGTAGTTTTGCACCCTTTGCATTCATTTGACCCCTTAAAACATACCATCTAAGCTCCTTAAATTAAGAGATATCTTTGAACTTGGCAAGCCAACCAGACCCAGAAGGACAATTTTCTATATATGGTCATTTGCTTTGATGACATCATGTACTCAGGGTATTGATCAATCTGCACACCACTCCAACCTCTCAAGAGCCAAAGAGTATAATAGAGAGGTGTAACTGATATGTGCCTTAGGTCATCCAGTTTCGGGATCGGAGAGCTGTTTATTGTCACTTCCATTCAGATCTTCATTTGGTTCACACAGAAGGCAGGAAAACAAGGAAATAAAGACACCAAAGTCAAATATGAAGTTGTATATGCTGTTTGTGATCTGTGTGGTTCTGTGTTTAATCACTGAATCGCTTGATGCAAAACGGAGACCAAATAAGAAATCGAGAACAAACAAACATGAGAAAATGAAAAAGAAGAATAAAATGTGAGTATATTTTAAAATCATCATGGAATGAATTTCTGTTGTTTCATTGTTTATTGTTGAACATGTATACACTTCTGTATTCATTTTTTTCAGGCCCAATGTACAACAGAATATATATGATGATCTGCCAGCTTTAAGGCTTATGAATATGGTAGACAATCTGCCATCAAAAGATGTCATTCCAGTTCTGAACATGACATCTACATTGAGTGTGAATGTTGGAATTGCTCTTCTGAATCTCTTAGAGCTTGATTACTCCCACATGAAAGTAATCATTTGGCTTAGATTGGTAAGAGCTCTACACTTTTTGTCATAAACTTTTAAAAACCTTCAATTGACACACTTTTGAGACAATCTTATATTGCTAATTACTATATTCTTATAATTGTCACAGAACCGTGATTTTTGTAATTCACAACATTTACATTTTATTCACATGTCACTCTTTTGTATAACATGGCTATCTTATGTCCTAATTTGGCGTTTATAATTTTAGACTTGGAAGAATGAGTTCCTGCAATGGGATCCCGAAGATTACGCTGGAATAAATTCCATTCGTGTTCCAATCGAAAAAATGTGGAAACCTGATATTGTTCTATACAACAGGTAAAGAAAGCTTATTCTACAACCCAATCAAAACAGGGCAATCAAATTCAAGCTATCCAATCAAAATAGACATTTTCTATTTGACCCAAGCAACAAGTCCAACAACTGAAGTGTAAGGTACTAACACACTCTCTAGAATTTTAAGGCGAATAATGAGAAAAATCAGAAAATAAAAGATTCATGTACTATATATAGGGCTTTGTATAAAAAAAAACTCCTACCTCATACCCACCTACCCACCTACGTGGGACATGATACAGTCATTGAAGGGTTCAATTTCAAAGATTATTTAATCTCAAAAAAGCTCAAATTATAAAAATTTCTACAATTGCAGACAGATGACAGGTCCATAAATAAAGGCATATGGGTGCATTTTAATGTCTAATGACCCGAGGGCGCCCAAGGGGAATAACTAACTAACACCGGGCCACGAGCATAGGTCCAACAGGCTAGATAAAGAAATTAATAGAGAGTGTGCTAAATTTGATGCCCCGAGTGGGGATCGAACCCAGCTGGGCTGTAGTAGCAACTTACTATCAAGGGTCGTTACAAATGCATCTATAATTCATCATAAACTAAGATTTAATAAAATAAGATTTTTAAAATTGAACCTTTCAAAGCCTGTATCATGTCCCACGTACGTGGGTAGGTGGGTATGAGGTAGGAGGTTTTTTATACAAAGCCCTATATATGGGAATCTGCCCTGTCAACCCTCACACAATAGACGTGTTTGTCACACATTTGCTGGATAAATTGAAATCACACATCAATTTTGCGTGTATGATAAAAATCATTGATATTTCAAAAAATTTGGCTTTTATAAAATGCTGATGTGGAAAAAAAACGAATGCCAAAAAACGAACGTATTCTGTTCGGATCTTTCACGTGAATTATGAATATGTCACACATTTGGTTTGAAATATGTGTATATGTAATGTGTATCAACATTTTTTGTACCTACTCCCCTCCTGGGACCCCCCTCCAGTTTTGAACTAAGGTGCCTACAATTTGAAGGAAGGTGTTTGAGAACATTTGTAAGTCACTCATGTTAGGTGATCCCAAGTTGACAGGCCTGGGGAATGTATGCAATAAAAATGCGCTTATATCATCATCAAAAAACAAAAAAAAGAATGCTTTCTCTACAATGGATTTTTTGAATCTGAGATAATGTTTGTATGCCTTAGCCAATCAAAACAGGTCAATCAAATTCAAGCTAACCAATCAAATTTGCAATCACATGTTGTCTGATTTGAAAACTATATTTATTCTAGGTAGCTCTATCAGTACAAAACAGGTCTTCCTAGAGGCCCAGTAGGTGTCATGTACATGTACATGTATATGTGTAGTTGGCATTCATTTATTATTTAAACCCCATTGAAAGACTATGATTGATGTAGCTAGCTACTTTTTAGGTGGTTATATGCATCATAACATTTATTTGTCTTATTCAGAGCCTTATTTCTAGCATACTAGCCTCATTCTAGACAACGGGGTAATGATGAAATACAAAAATCCTCAAATATACCATCCAACATCGACCTTTATGCTTTTTGTTAATATTATGTAATCAGATAATATATGTACATATTTATCTCACACAATTCATGTTATTGTGTCTTGCAGTTTGAAAAAATCAGAGATGTTGTTTGAAGCCCTGGCTGTAGTCAACAATGATGGCACTGTTCTTTGGGTCCCAAGCATGGAGATCATCTCCAGTTGTAAAAAAACAGAGAAAACACCCAACAAGTGCAGCATAAATTGCCCACTGAAATTTGGAAGCTGGACGAGGGATGGGTATCAACTTGATCTTACCTCTGAGAAGGAGATTGATCTGAATGATTACCAAGAGAATGAGGAGTGGCAAGTGCAGGTGCATACACAGACCAAGCATACCAAGTTCTACCCTTGTTGTAAGGAGCCATACCCAGATGTCACTGGCAATCTTACATTTGTTGCGAGATCTGATAGCTCAGATGAATGCTGATGACTTACATCTTACAAAATATATGCAAAGTATAAACTGATGTTAAGACTGAAAACAGGCTTCTAAATTAGCAAATGACTTTAAGACAATGTAAACAGCATGTCTTCTATTAGAGAGGAAGTCCCTGGGAAAGACTCAAATTACAATTTAGAGCTAGGCATAATATTTTTAGGGCAGAAACATTAAGTCACAAAAACAAATGATTTACTGGGCTATTTATCATGATAAACGACATATGTACATTATACTAAAAGTAAAATAAATATATTCATTCTTCGAACCCAACTCACTCTTTATTTCAATCTTTCTGAAACATTTACAGTAAGTAAGGTCAAGGCATACATATCTTAAGTCAGATTTAAATTTCTGAGAACTTGTAGATAATTTTGAAAAAACAATTAGGTCAATCTGAGGCAAGTTGAAAAATACCTTTTTGACCTTTTTTGACATTGAAAAGGTCACTGAAATTCTTATCTCAAATCTAAAGTCAGATTTGAACTTCTGAAAACTTGTAAATGATTTTCATGAAACAATTGGTCAATTTGAGGCAAAATGAAAGGAAATACTTTTTGATCTTGAAAAGGTCATTAAAGGTCAAGTCTTAAGTCAGATTTGAATTTCTGAGAACTTGTAGATGATTTTGAAAAGAATTGACGCCAATCTAAGCAGTTGGAAGTTGAAGAATTTGTTACAACAATTTGTTACAGACGCCAACTGTCGTCCACAAAAAAGGTTGGAGAGTTGTGAGTTTGAGATGCAAGCATGATGAGCTCCTTGTGTATCTATGATCACTGTCTGAGCTTTCAGTTGTAGAGACCTGGTCTGGGTTCTTAAGGACAATCGAGCTAATTGTGTGTGTGAATGTGCGTAAGAATGTTACCCTCTGATGTGATGAGTGGTAACACTTGTCCTCTCTCATTAGATTGGATGATGAAACAAACTTTTTGGGGGGTTTTCGAGTTGGCCAAGCGGTCTAGAGCACTGAACATGCTAAGCTTGGTGCTAATGCAGAGACACGCAAGCTCCTTGGGTTTATTCATTAAGTACATATACAGGGTGGGCCAAAAAAACGCCACTTTTTTTTCAAAATGCTATAACTTTTTAATTTTTGATACAAAATCATAATTTACATAACAAATGAAACTTGAGATTGTTATCTAGCCATTGATCATGAATTATACACTTTTACTTGAATAAAATATGTCACCAGCATCTCACTTTAACATGTGGTGTGCCATGAGAAATAAGCATAATTTGCATAATGTTCCTAAACTGATACACCCTGATGACCGCAAACTAATAGCCCTAATTCAAACCCAAGTGAGTATAGGGTATGGGGAGGTCTCCAGGAGATGGTATGAAGGTACCCAATCTAAAAAATTCCTTAACTAAAGCTGGCAATTAGGACACATTGAAAAAAATCTAGTTAATGCTATATCAGCAAGGCGACTAAAACTAAAATCTATCAAATGGCGTGGCGGACCAATTGAACTCCTCTTCTAGATCAGATATAATCCAAGTTGAAGGACTTGTTACATTATATTATTACTAAGAACCCTTGGCACTATATAACTGCAAAATTTGGGGTATGTAGGTTGCAAAATAAAAAAGTTATAGTGTCTTGAAAAAAAGTGGCTTTTTTTTGGCCCACCCTGTAGTATATAAACTTGTGTATAAAAACTAGCACTTATGTCTCATACATAATGGAAGAGGAGCAATACCCCACATGCTCCCCCAGGAATAAAACAATTGATATATGCATTAATAGAACCATTACAATATTATTTATTATTAGTTACCAGTTAATGATCAGGTAATCAAATATATGTTAATAAAAAATCCTAGAGTGTATAATGGCAGAGAATATACCATTTCTATTAATATGTGTGCTATTTTATATTTCTTTTATTGACAATAGTATCAAAAGTATCAAATCATGACACATTAGCCTAATGTCATTATATGTATATTCATCATCGCCGTAACATACACTTTATAATAGTGGTGTAAGTTACAAGTTGATTGGAGTTGAAACAATTCTGAAAACCTGGGCCAAAAGCTGTCAAAAAACGTGTCTTTATTTTTTTAATTGTTGAAGATCAATCAAGATGACTCCAGGGCTAGTGTACAGTGTTTGATCACTAAAAAAACATGTACACTTAACTATCAGATGGTAGCATTGACCTACAAATAAAATTTACTTTGCCATTTCAGTTACAACTGAGGAAACACTTCAACACCACACCTGGACTTTCAGATGGTAGCATTGACCTACATATAAAATTTACTTTGCCATTTCAGTTACAACTGAGGAACACTTCAACACCACACCTGGACTTTCAGATGGTAGCATTGACCTACATATAAAATTTACTTTGCCATTTCAGTTACAACTGAGGAACACTTCAACACCACACCTGGACTTCCAGATGGTAGCATTGACCTACATATAAAATTTACTTTGCCATTTCAGTTACAACTGAGGAACACTTCAACACCACACCTGGACTTTCAGATGGTAGCATTGACCTACAAATAAAATTTACTTTGCCATTTCAGTTACAACTGAGGAACACTTCAACACAACACCTGGACTTTCAGATGGTAGCATTGACCTACAAATAAAATTTACTTTGCCATTTCAGTTACAACTGAGGAACACTTCAACACCACACCTGGACTTTCAGATGGTAGCATTGACCTACATATAAAATTTACTTTGCCATTTCAGTTACAACTGAGGAACACTTCAACACCACACCTGGACTTTCAGATGGTAGCATTGACCTACATATAAAATTTACTTTGGTTCAGTTACAACTGAGGAACACTTCAACACCACACCTGGACTTCCAGATGGTAGCATTGACCTACATATAAAATTTACTTTGCCATTTCAGTTACAACTGAGGAACACTTCAACACCACACCTGGACTTTCAGATGGTAGCATTGACCTACATATAAAATTTACTTTGCCATTTCAGTTACAACTGAGGAACACTTCAACACAACACCTGGACTTTCAGATGGTAGCATTGACCTACATATAAAATTTACTTTGCCATTTCAGTTACAACTGAGGAACACTTCAACACAACACCTGGACTTTCAGATGGTAGCATTGACCTACATATAAAATTTACTTTGCCATTTCAGTTACAACTGAGGAACACTTCAACACCACACCTTGACTTTCAGATGGTAGCATTGACCTACATATAAAATTTACTTTGCCATTTCAGTTACAACTGAGGAACACTTCAACACCACAGCTGAACCAATAGGACAGGATGATTTCAAGAACAGCAGCCAACCTGCACTTAGAGATAATTCAACCTGCCCACCCCCGAGACCTCCTCCATCTGCAAGTCTGGTCAGCTTCCGCATTACGATCGACATATACATCATCGGTGCCCTTGTTGTCTTTGGACTTATCGGAAACATCTTTATCCTCGTGGTATTCCAAAAAGGAAACATATCTGGCCGGACAACCAAGATCCTGATACAGTTCTTGGCAATAGCAGACTGTACATGCTTAATAAGCTTTTTTGTTACATCAACATTGCGTGCGATTTCATCTTATACGAATTGGTTTGATCCATATATGGGAATGTATGCCATTGCGTATCGTTACACCTGGACACTTTATGATACAACACGTTTGTGGTCAACTTTATGTGTATTAGCCATCACGGTAGAAAGATATGTCGCAACATGTTACCCTTTCAAAGTAAAAGGCATGTTTACACCTCTTAGAGTGAAAATTGCATCTGTCGCGATTTTGATATTTGTCATTGGTTTCAACCTGCCAAAATTGTTTGACAGCCGACCAGTCCGCTTTGACTTATGCACCAATAGTTGGGTTATATATGGTGGCTATGGTGTTTATATGCAGATCAATGGTTTTGCATATGCGATGATTTATCTCACACTTGCTTACTATGCGATCAACTGTGTTGTCCCCTTGCTATGTCTGATAATTATGAACGCACGTATTGTCTTCACTATCAGGAAATCTATTGGTGGGGGTGGGCTTTCACTGGGTAAAAGTGACGACATCAAAGCTCGAGAAAAATCCAAAGAACGCACCACAACAATCATGTTTTCTGTCGTTGTTGTTGTATTCATAATCTGTCAAACATGGCCATTTGGAATAAGTGTCACATACATGTTAGATTCATGGGGGGTCCCAGGGCCAAATTATGGCTCAAGGACATACTTGTACGTCATTGGTTCACTCCTCCTAACAATTAATTCTTCAGTCAATTTCCTGATCTATCTTATATTTTCGCAACGGTTTAGGGAGACACTTGTACAACTGATTTGTTGTGGGTTTCTGAGGGGAAAAGGTTCTGAAACGAGCACAGAAATGACTCAAAGTTCTCAACTTGATTGAGAGCACTACAAATATGTTTTACACTCTTCGATATCTGAAAAACCAATCTGGCAATATTGTTCAAACAAAAAATCAGAACTTCTTTCTTTCCATTTGGACTTTTACATGTCTATGTGAAATTATAATAAAATAATTATAATTGATCAATGTGAATACATGTGCATCTTTCATAAGTGACATTCCTCGAAGGTTTATACTTATATTTTCCTAAATGTATTATTTTTTAAAAATATTTTTGGTAAATACAGCTTGTTATTCAATGGTTTTCATAGTTTGACAAACATGGCCAATGCATTAGTGGGCAAATATGCCTGTTGCATCTAAAATAAATAGAAATAGAATATACATGTAGCTGGATCTTTCATGACATGTGGCCCAGTTTTGACCAATCATGCGATTGTAAGCTAAAGAGTGATATAATGAAAACAGCAAAACCTGTCTTAGTGAACACCTCTCTCTAATGAACACCTGTCTCTAGTGGACATCATTCCTCTGCATATCCTCTACTAACTTCTGTATAAATTACCTCTCTGTAGCGAACACCTACCAACATTGAACATTTTTTCACTACCATTCAGCTTGAAATATGTAAGATTCCTCTAAATCTGGTATCTTAATATTGTAATATTAGTATAGTAAAACCTGTCTTAGTAAACAGGTCTCTCTCCAGTGAACACTAGTGTTGTCGCGATTAATCGATACATCGCGATATACATCGCCAAAGCTGGTTCTGACGATGCATCGATGTCTGAAACAAAACATCAATGTTTTTAAAAAATTTCAATTTGCTAAAAATCGCCCTTTCTTATCTTATTTTGACGCAAATTGCTTACCTTTTTTCGTGTCTTATTTCATTTTCAAATGTTTTCTGATATTCTTTCGCTTTAAAACTGTTTTAGCTAGTCGAAATGAACCATTAATCTAAAAAAATTACTTTACTTTCATTTCACCGTTACTATGTTCCCGGATGTACCAGCGTACTCTTATTAATTTGTTCTGTTCGATATTTTAGTGCATTAGCGTTCGGTAATTTCAGTGCACTTTTCTCGAACTTTTTCTTGATGTACATCGCGATGTGCATCGATGTTTACTACTGAAAATTGCCGATGCATCGATGTACGATTATGGCACATCGCGACAACACTAGTGAACACCTGTCTCTAGTGGACACCATTCCTCTGCATATCCTCTACTAACTTCTGTATAAATTACCTCTCTGTTGTGAACACCTACCAACATTGAACATTTTTTTCTCTTACCATTCAGCTTGAAATATGTAAGATTCCTCTAAATCTGGAGTCTTAATCTTGTAATATTAGTATAGTAAAACCTGTCTTAGTAAACAGGTCTCTCTCTAGTGAACACCTGTCTCTAGTGGACATCCTTCTTCCGCACATACTCTACTGACTTCTGTATAAATTACCCTCTGTAGTGAACACCTACCAACACTGAATGTTACCAAAAGAAGAATTGAGGACAAATTAATAAGTTAACTACATATGACTATAATTGTTTGGTATTATTAGATGTGCACATGTACTTGTATATTTCTTAAGGCACATTCTGATTTCAGGCATTATTTTTATCCTGATTTTATTACTTGTTATCTATCATATTGTGTAAAAGGATGACAAGGCTTGACATCTTGTATTTTATTCTACTGTTCATACTTTATCTGCTCACACTGTTCCACAACTGGTTACTTTGATGGAACGTCAATGTAACAAAATGAATGAACTTCCTGGTTACGATTTTTTGTTTGCTCAATTTAAACCTACTTATAAGTCAAGTTGTAGATTATAATTTGGTGCAAAGCTAGGAAATATAGTTTAGTTTTAATAAGTTTCTTTGATTTGTCATTTGTTTTTTAAATGAAGTTGCATTTATTCATATATTTAGCCCCATGCTTTTATTACATCAACGAAAGTCAGTTATATTACCAATGTATGTTACTTTGACGACTAACGTCAATGTAAAAAAGCTATGGTCTAAATGCATCAATTACAGCTTCATTTACAAATCAAATTTTAATTAAAAAGCATTTCTAAAAGCTAGACTATTTTGTCTAACTTAGTGCCAAATGATAATCCGCAACATGACTTGTACATAAGTTTAAATCGAGAAAACAAAAAACTCATTTCCAGGAAGTCCATCTATTTTGTTACATTGACATTCTGTCAAAGTAACTTGTTGTGGAACAGTGGTAACTAGACAATTTGTAACATTTTTAAACTGTACATCAAATCAATCAAAATAGTTCCATATCAGAGCAGGCCTGTAGCCAGGTTTTGCCAAGAGGGTTCACTTTTTGAAAAATTCCAGTTGGGGTTCAGAATGGTAAAAAAATTGTATGACCTTGAAAGAATGTTTGGCAATGTGGGGGGGGGGTTGCTTAAACCCCTCCCCCTGACTACGGGCCTGCCTGTCGGAGGGACTTGTTATTTTTTTCTTTTCATTCATATTAATAGAGCAACGCATGTTCAGTAGTACCATCATTAAATAAAGTATCTATTATGATAAAAATAATCCTATATGGCTAGATGTGTGTATGAATACCAGGAAAAAATAATTAACTCATAAAATACTAGTAAAATGCTTCTTATGGTACTATTTCAATAGTGTCTTCTAACATTTACATGTACATGAAGTTCAATTTATTTTATTGTAATGTTATGTTGTTAAAATAAATGATAATATATAAACAAATAATTCGTTATCTTCAAATAAGTACAAAAGTCAGAATATAACAAGGAATTAACATGCAAAATGCCACAAATCATTTCTTTAAGACACCGACTGCCAATCACCGAATCCCAAACACCAAACACCATCAGCAAAAAGTTTGAGACAGATAGAAAGTGTCACTTAGCACATTTTAGGTCAATAGACTAAATGCGAGTAGAAATAATCTTGATTTACGTTATTAAATATTCAAAATTCAGTCAAAATGATGTCATATTTGAAATTTTCATGTGAAAGTACATCGAGAAAATTGTTTTCTTAAATTGTTTATCAATTTTGAAAATTTAATTTTTTGGGAAAATGTGACTTTGAGTTTGGTGATTCCTCATAGACCCCATGTTATAAAAATTACAAAAAGTGAAATATCTTTTCTTGTATTGGATGGATAATATTTTATTTTACTGGGTATATTTTAATTTGCAGAACTATTAGAAGGGTGATATGAAAATCGAACAACTAAAACTGATAAACATTTAAGTTAAAGGGAAATTGCTATACTGCCATGCTATCTGACCTGAATGAGCCACTTGGTGGTGAAACTGGCAACTACCTACTCGCATCCGAGTTATTGTTTGTCTGTTTATCAATGAATCAGAACCAATTTTGAAAGTATTGCACATAAAAATCCAAAGAGCAGCATTAAAGCAAGCAGGTCGTCCAAAAGCACAATTAGAGTAACCCCTCTTTTCGTGTTATATTATGTAAAACAAGTATTTCTATCGACTTACCAATGTTGGGGCTTCAGACAATTCATTAACGGTATCAATTTGATGATTGTTCTAAGCCATAATTTCATCCTGCATCAATCGTAATTTGACAAATGTTCGAAATAAAATTGAAATAGCCCGCTTCAATGTGCTCCGATCTGTGATTGGCTGCCTGGGCTCAATATCCTGGCAACCGATTGTATTTGCCAAGACTGACGACGGGAAGTTTGATGCTCAATAAAACATCGTTATTTATTAAATCAGATGAAAAAAATTCCAAAAAACATACATTTCAACAATATCAGTCATATTTATTGATCATTTTGAAATAAAAGCGCACTTATATTATTTTTTTTTCAATTATTCATATTATTGTAAAATTTGACCAGACTTACATGTAGTGAACGTGTGGCGCAGTAGGTAGCGCGTCAGACTTCTCTATCTATGTTTTGTCCAAAAAGTTGGGGTATGATTCCCGACTGAGGCAATCTTTTTTTTTATCAAAACATATTCTTATCCTTTGGGAATGTTATTTTGATTACTTAAAAGGGTTTTGCAATCTAAATTAATCTAAAAAAATTTATGTTGTTTTAGACTTATTGTGTTCTAGACATTTGGTTGTTCTTTGGTTGTCCTGTTGATTTTCTCAATATATTGGCAAAACTGTGCTCATGATATGGTCCCAAAATATATCTAAGGCATATATGATGTTATATGAGCAGTTATATTGGGACATACAGCCACGCTATTAAAGGATCAATAAAAAATCACTATCCCTGATGACTAGTTACCGTGCTGACTTTAAAAATGAATCTGGGGAACAATCATCTAGGAATGGTATCAAAGCTGTTTATACTAATTAAACTGAGGTGACACATCGGTCAAGTATGTATTATCAAACACCACTTTAATACGGAATGGCTCTTTAATCAGTTAAAAGCTCACTGGATGAAATGGGATACTAATGTAGTTTATGAATGATCCAATTTAGAAAGTGAAGTAAAGGAGTATTGGGTATTTACTATCATACCTTTTAATTGGGATAAAAAATCGTGTTTGTTTGGATCTTTAATACTATATCCAGTATTCATCATAGACTGCATAATGCAGTCAAAGTGCAGTCAAAGTTGAACCATTAATCATCAAAGAGGGATAACATTTGACTATGTTTTGAAATGACTAGCTATAACAATTATTGACAAGTTCTGTAATTGTGATTTGTATTCAAGAATATATTCCATGCAAAAGATCCATTCTGTATTAACACTAGACCTTGAATCAAATGTCTTCATCTGGTGAAACTGTCTCTTTGGAGATATTATCAATGGCATTGGTCTTGTGAGTTTATGTAGGATTAAAATTCCTATTGCTGACAAGTGATATCATTTCAATAATTCAATTTGACTGAATGTAATAGAATAAGATGGCCACCATGTTACAATGTTTATTCAAAGATGGCATTTTGTCGGTTATATACATGTAAAGCACGATAGATTTCCCTAAGAATGCACGATAAAGTACATTTGTACATGCATCACCTTCCAAAATTGCTGTAAACACAATCTGTTTCTGTTTAATTTAAAGCATTGCAGTTTCATATACATTTATATGTTGTACCATGAATACTGAATTGACAGCCATTTTGGAGCCAGTGGGCATTTTGAAAATCAGCTTTCAAGCAGAATTTCTATTCACATAGGACATATACATACATAGGCATTAACATGACAAAATATCACCACCCAGTTGCTCACAATATTATTGGTTCAATCTTAAGTCAGATTTGAACTTCTAAGAACTACTAGATGATTTTGAAAAAAATTGGTCAATTTGAAGCAAGTTGAAAAAAGACCTTTTTGACCTTGAGAAGGTCATTGAATGTCAAATCTTTTTTGACCTTAAGAATGTCATCGACGGTCAAATCTATAGTCAGATTTGAACTTTTGAGAACTTGTAGACGATTTTGAAAAAATGGTCAATTTGAAGGAAGTTGAAAAAAGACCTTTTATGACCCTATTTTGACCCTGAAAAGGTCATTGAAGGTCAAATCTCAAATCTAAAGTCAGATTTTAACTTCTGATAACTTGTAGATGAAAAAAATATTTGGTCAATTTGAAGCAAGTTGAAAAAGACCTTTTTGAACCTTTTTTGACCTTGAAAAGATCATTGAAGGTCAAAACTTGTAGATGATTTTGAAAAAAATTAAAGTCAGTCTAAACAGTATTTGTTAAGTTATTGGACGTTGTAAGACCAACCACCATCAACCACCACCAACCGATCACCAACCACAAACCACCGCCACAAAAAACTGAGACCAAAACAATATGTCACCACTTTTTTTGATGACATAATAAAATATAAACAATGTTGGGCCAACAGTATTCCATTCTCGATATCCCCCAAACTTTGTACAATGGTATAATTAAGACTCAATATACGCATATACCCATTATAAGGTATCCTCAGACTTACCTAAATCTATGGACTCTAGCTGATCAAGTTGTATCCGCTGGTAATCAGTGACCTTTTCAACTTCATCGTCATAGCTAAAAGATGAAAAAATAAAATTATGAGAGAACACGTCAAATGTATTTTCTGCTGTATATGCAACGCCATCTTTAAATGATTCACATAATTTTTACCCATTTGTTCTGATTATGAAAGTAGTTTCATATAATTCTCTAGCTCTGTTCAAAGCTACAACATGGATTTTCTTTTGGAATTCTGGTTTTTCTCAATTAAAACCTTCAAAACAATCAAAATACACTGGTGGTTAGGAATTTGGTTTTTAAATTAAGCTGCATTTCACATTTTTAGTCAAAACTTTGTCAAATTAACATAAGTACAAAATGTCAAATTCATTGCTCTTACTTCAATTAATGTAGGCCTAGCAAAAGCGAGGTGTAAATTGAGCAAACCAAAAATCTTATAAAAAAAACGGGAGGTCATCCATGTTGCTACATTGACTGTATGTATAGTACAGGAGAGTAGTGATTATTTAAAGCCAATACACCCCAGGTTCTAATTTCAATGAAAATGGCATAATTTATGGGAAAATCCAAATCCACTCTTCCCTCCCCTTCCCCTGTACATGTATTTCATGCTCTCACTTGGTCTGTTGTTTATACTCACTGGGCGACATAATATGCTATGTTGGTCAACAGAAGTATGGTGTCGACATCTTGGTCATCACTGCTCCTACAAGCATACAACAAGACCCACAATTTATTTCAAGATATCACTGAGCTTACACTTAATACCAAAAACACTCAAGTACACACTTACTGTAATTAATGAGATTACGCTTAAAAGCACTCAAGTACACACTTACTGTAATTAATGAGATTACGCTTAAAAGCACTCAAGTACACACTTACTGTAATTAATGAGATTACGCTTAAAAGCACTCAAGTACACACTTATTGAATTAATGAGATTACGCTTAAAAGCACTCAAGCACACACTAACTGTAATTAATGAGATTACGCTTAAAAGCACTCAAGTACACACTTACTGTAATTAATGAGATTACGCTTAAAAGCACTCAAGTACACACTTACTGTAATTAATGAGATTACGCTTAAAAGCACTCAAGTACACACTTACTGTAATTAATGAGATTACGCTTAACCTCCTAAACAGTGTTCATTGTCCCCTATCACTTACCCTGAACTGCAATCTATGAGTCCCCGACCTCCTAAACAGTGTTCATTGTCCCCTATCACTTACCCTGAACTGCAATCTATCAGTCCCCAACCTCCTAAACAGTGTTCATTGTCCCTTATCACTTACCCTGAATTGCAATCTATCAGTCCCCAACCTCCTAAACAGTGTTCATTGTCCCTTATCACTTACCCTAAACTGCAATCTATAAGTTCCCAACCTCCTAAACAGTGTTCATTGTCCCTTATCACTTACCCTGAACTGCAATCTATAAGTCCCCAACCTCCTAAACAGTGTTCATTGCCCCTTATCACTTACCCTGAACTGCAATCTATCAGTCCCCAACCTCCTAAACAGTGTTCATTGTCCCTTATCACTTACCCTAAACTGCAATCTATAAGTTCCCAACCTCCTAAACAGTGTTCATTGTCCCTTATCACTTACCCTGAACTGCAATCTATAAGTCCCCAACCTCCTAAACAGTGTTCATTGCCCCTTATCACTTACCCTGAACTGCAATCTATCAGTCCCCACCCTCCTAAACAGTGTTCATTGTCCCTTATCACTTACCCTGAACTGCAATCTATCAGTCCCCAACCTCCCAAACAGTGTTCATTGTCCCCTATCACTTACCCTGAGCTGCAATCTATGAGTTCCCAACCCCCTTGTCCCCTATCACTTACCCTGAACTGCAATCTATGAGTCCCCAACCTCCCAAACAGTGTTCATTGTCCCCTATCACTTACCCTGAGCTGCAATCTATAAGTCCCCAACCTCCCAAACAGTGTTCATTGTCCCCTATCACTTACCCTGAACTGCAATCTATCAGTCCCCAACCTCCCAAACAGTGTTCATTGTCCCCTATCAATTACCCTGAGCTGCAATCTATGAGTCCCCAACCCCCTTAAGTGTTCATTGTCCCTGAACTGCAATCTATAAGTCCCAAACCCCCTAAACAGTGTCCATTGTCCCCTATCACTTACCCTGAACTGCAATCTATGAGTCCCCAACCTCCCAAACAGTGTTCATTGTCCCCTATCACTTACCCTGAGCTGCAATCTATGAGTCCCCAACCCCCTAAACAGTGTTCATTGTCCCATATCACTTACCCTGAGCTGCAATCTATGAGTCCCCAACCCCCTAAACAGTGTTCATTGTCCCCTATCACTTACCCTGAACTGCAATCTATAAGTCCCCAACCTCCTAAACAGTGTTCATTGTCCCCTATCACTTACCCTGAGCTGCAATCTATGAGTCCCCAACCCCCTAAACAGTGTTCATTGTCCCCTATCAACAGGATCTTGCACTCCTGTATCAAGCTGAGGACATCTTCCTCTTTCTCTCTCAGTTCACTACCTTCATTAACCTACAAGTGAAACAACAATCACAAAGGGTAAAAAAATAAATAGCTCTGTCAATCATGGATGCATTGCTGGGAATCTAGTCTAGCTTCAAGACTATGGACCCCCTTATCTAATTTTCCAACACAACACATGTAAAGTAGATAGGGGGGGGGGGGGTTCAAGGGTCTTGAAGCAAGACTACTGGGAACCCAAAGAAACCAGAGATCATTTACTATACAAAGGATGCATTGGATGGTCAGATGGTGCTGCCCTCTTTTAAAAGACCAGGTGTGTACATTGATCTTTGGACAATAAGAAGTGTTTATTGAAGAAATATAGCATGTTGGGGCCTCCTAATTAGATCTTGAAAAAAATTTTAGAACAAAAGGGAGAGACAAAAGATCACTGGACGTAATCATGGGTGATAGTTGGGTTGATATACTCATGTATGACAACTTACCGGGTCGATCTTTGCGGGTCCTCCCATGAGAATAGTGAGCTCTTCAGATATAGGGTTACCCAACATGACATCAATTGCAGCCTGGCGGTATGCATCCTTGAAGCGACTCAAATAATACCTGAAACAATCAAATAGTATGACTTAACTTCAATTCATTATGATGTCATAGTAACAGTCCACCCGTATAGCTCAGCGGTAGCACAGGTGCCTCTTACACAAAAGGTCCCGGATTGGATCCCCGACTTAATTTGCTTGTTGGCGTAAAGTACTTCAGGGTGTTTGACTGAGTGGTCCACAACTCCTACAAAAGGCTGTGGTGTGTACATGTATGTCTATGTATGGTTGCACATAAAAGAACACAGGGCTCCTCTGAGGAGGGGTTTCTTTCTATCTTCCAGGCTAATTAAGATAATTACGACCGCATATATAAGGGATATACCCAAGTGGTATTGCTCACCTTCATTGGTGGTAAACAAAATAAAAAACAGGCCAACAATGGAATTATTAGCAAATCATCAATTTAATTTTTTATTTAAAAAAAAATTAAATCATCAATTCTATGGCTTTTGGGAACTTTCTTGTATGCATGTATGTTGCTATGGTTTTTATACTTCCATTTTTATACAGTATTGAGTTTTATCAAATTTTTCTTCTAAGAATTTTTTCCCAGTATTTATTGCATAAATTAAAAATTCCAATTAACAAAATGTAATAATATCAATTACCTTGAGGCATTACAGACACATTCACCAATAAAGAAATACATATAAGGCATAAATGTGATTGGAAAATAAGTGTAAGAGACAAATAGATATAGCATGATAAGAAAAGTGAATGAATTCTAAGGAGGACTGATGATGCTGACTTGAAGATGATGGTAGGAAGTGAAACATGTTCTTCAAAAATGGTTTACAGAGTTTGATCATCCTCTGTTCGATGATTCTTTAACCTCTTGACTACCTGGAGTGACGAGATTTCTCGTCACCTCAGAAATGACCTTGAAACCTAGAGTGACGAGAAAATCCGTCACAAAAATTTTCACTAAAATTGCTCTTATTTTTACAATTTTCATCCAATTTACACAAAACTTGTTTTAAAATATGTAGAAATGCTCTCTGCTGTCTAATTTTACTAATTTTATCAAGTTGTATAAATATGCAGTAAAATGTCAAAAGATGGGAAAAAATGAAAAGTCTCTGGTTTCAACCGATTTTAGAGCCTGGGATTCAAGACGTTAAAATTTGTAACCGCATATGCTACTGTAGAAGATCATTTATTTTGTAATTTAACTTTTAACTTTGTAAGATCCATTTGCCTAAAACAATCTGACGCATTAATTGATGCAAAAAGTATGTTTAGTTGGTGCTATGGTGCTTGACAAATGTTTCTAATTGTTCAATTGTTATGAACTCTGTAACCAAGGAAGGGCAGATTGCAGTAATTTGAACACTTAGCTTGATTATTGCTATTAAATTAACTTCTGATAAATGATTCAATTACGCAGGTTTTTTATTGAGGCTTTGGAGCAATTGTAAATGTTATTCTTCAAACGTTATTTTAAGGGGTGCCTAATACTTAATGAATGGGTGGTGGTTTAATAAATAAATCATTTTAAATTGAATTGAACCTGAGCAAGCATGTACTTTAAGTAAAGGGCAATTTAATTTGTGTATCTCTCTAAAAAGGGATCTTTTATTAAGGGGGAGCTCAAGAAGGTTTTATATTGACACCGCTCTAACTTTGTTGTCTTTCATTGAAATTACATGATTACATGATTCTGAACACATTTTTTCATGCCGCTTTATCCATGAATGGAAGACATTCATGCTACCATCCTAGCTTAAGTGATACAAATGCTCCTTGAGTGCCACTCTATACCTCCTCCAATGAGTAATAAAAAACATTCAAAATTCAAAGAAAGATAGAGGTGAAGACTAGCAAAACAAGTCAAACAGCGGCAACAGTTAAGGCTGAAAGTTGCCATGTGTGAATACTGTTCTGTTCCCTATATCTAAAACTATCTACATGTACATTAAATAAATTATTTCTCCATTAAATTAATACACAAAGTATTTAAGTTATTGGTATTTATTATTGGAGTTTTAAGTAATTTTATCGAAAAACCAACAAAATAAGAGCAGTGTGTCCAAGACTTTTGGATCACCCCTCGTATATTTAATACCTAATCTTGGTAGACCTCTGCATGTGGGTGGGTAACTACTGGTAACTATCCAGGTCAGCTAATTTAACTTACACAAGTTACCACTTTGGAAATACATAAATGTATAAAATCCGGGTGGAATTAACACTATAAGCTATTTTTCATGTTTTAAACATCTCTCTGATATAGCATCTAAAATCAAGTATAGCTCATTAGAATACAAGTGACAAAACTTTAAGACTTTTCTGGGTGAAATGACATCACTAACAGAACATGTACATGAATGACTACATGAAGTATATCAGTAGCAATAAATAAAGGTGTCAGTGATTGCAACTTATTGACCTCCCTATATCTCTTATTCAACCTTCAATATTCTCTTTGATGAATGCACATTTTCAATGAGCACACAGTTCCAATGAGCACACAGTTCCAATAAGCACACAGTTCAAATGAGTACACAGTTCCAACAAGCACACAGTTCCAATGAGCACACAGTTCTAATAAGCACACAGTTCCAATGAGCACACAGTTTCAATAAGCACACAGTTCCAATAAGCACACAGTTCCAATGAGTACACAGTTCCAATAAGTACACAGTTCCAATGAGCACACAATTCCAATATGTACACAGTTCCAATGAGTATACAGTTCCAATAAGCACACAGTTCCAGTGATTACACAGTTCCAATAAGCACACAGTTCCAATAAGCACACAGTTCCAATAAGCACACAGTTCCAATAAACATGCAGTTCAAATGAGCACACAGTTCCAATAAGCACGAAGTTCCAATAAGCACACAGTTCCAATAAACATGCAGTTCAAATGAGCATACAGTTCCAATAAGCACACAGTTCCAATAAGCACACAGTTCCAATAAACATGCAGTTCAAATGAGCACACAGTTCCAATAAGCACACAGTTCCAATAAACATGCAGTTCAAATGAGCACACAGTTCCAATAAGCACACAGTTCCAATAAGCACACAGTTCCAATGAGTATACAGTTCCAATAAGCACACAGTTCCAATAAGCACACAGTTCCAATAAACATGCAGTTCAAATGAGCACACAGTTCCAATAAGCACACAGTTCCAATGAGTATACAGTTCCAATAAGCACACAGTTCCAATGAGTACACAGTTCAAATGAGCACACAGTTCCAATAAGCACACAGTTCCAATGAGTATACAGTTCCAATAAGCACACAGTTCAAATGAGTACACAGTTCCAATAAGCACACAGTTCCAATGAGTACACAGTTCCAATAAGCACACAGTTCCAATGAGTACACAGTTCCAATGAGCACACAGTTCCAATAAGCACACAGTTCCAATAAGCACACAGTTCCAATGAGTATACAGTTCCAATAAGCACACAGTTCCAATGAGTACACAGTTCCAATAAGCACACAGTTCCAATAAGCACACCATTCCAATGAGTACACAGTTCCAATAAGCACACAGTTCCAATAAGCACACAGTTCCAATAAGCACACAGTTCCAATGTGTACACAGTTCCAATAAGCACACAGTTCCAATGAGTACACAGTTCCAATAAGCACACAGTTCAAATAAGCACACAGTTCCAATGAGCACACAGTTCCAATGAGTACACAGTTCCAATAAGCACACAGTTCCAATGAGTACACAGTTCCAATGAGCACACAGTTCCAATAAGCACACAGTTCCAATGAGCACACAGTTCCAATGAGCACACAGTTCCAATGAGCACACAGTTCCAATGAGCACACAGTTCCAATGAGCACACAGTTCCAATGAGCACACAGTTCCAATAAGCAAACAGTTCCAATGAGCATACATGCAACTTTTATGTTGATTAGAAATGGTCTCAAGAAAACACAAACATTAATGCATAATTTTTGATTATTTTCACAACAAGATATTGATTGAAGATAATTTTTAATGTAGATATAGCAAAACACGAGTTGCAGAATATGTATAATAAAAAGATTATCAGTGGTATTTTTCTAATTTTTGTTTGTGTGCTTATTCATACTCGCTTACCAGTTTGATGTAAACTTCATACCTTGGTAATCCAAGATGCACTTAGTTTCTTTGAAAACATAGGATAAATTTCCTATGCTAAGGGCTGATGTGAAAAAGTAAGTCCACTTAGGTGGGAATTGAACCCACAACCTACCGATTAGATCTTTGATGCTCTACCAAATCTAAATTTCAATTTGAAAACTGCACTGTGTACTCATTAGAGAGAATATGGTACTTGTACCACTTATAGTTAATTAAAATGGGTGCAATGGCTTACCCTATTAAGAGCTTTTTCAATATCTTCAACTTCAAACCTGACAGTATTTCTTAATTTAGATGTTTTATTGGTATTGAATTGTTTTATTATACTTCAAAAAAGTAATACTTAAATAGAACAAACAAACAAAGATATCCACACTAGCAACAAAATCAAAATAGAATTATAAATTATCTTCCTAAAGTATGTGTAGTTTTTAAACCATTTATCTGTATTATCAAAATCACATCAGGGTTTTAAAAAGTTATTTTTCTATAAAGAATAAAATTCAATATGCATTTTAAGTTCAGTTTATTGTTCCATTCATATAATTTTAAATACATGTATTGGAAGTGACAATTTGTCCCAAAGAGTATTTCTTTGTTACAATTTGTCATTCTAGGTTTATATTTTACGAAAGGTATCGAAAAATATCAATTCCTTTGAGAGTTTTCAAAATGGCATCATATAAGTTAAATTTGCTAACTGCAGTGGATACTGTTAAAAGTATCACTGCAATAGGATCGAATGTTAAAGTATTATGATTTCTTTGACTTACATCTTATTGGACTTTGTTTGACATGATATGAACTTACAAAAACTTTTAAACACATGGTGCATTATGTTCCTGTCATATCGGCAAAAACTTCATTTCTAACTCTTAAAGTTTACTTTCAGTAAAACCTGCATATATGATAACTTCTCTAATCTGAACGCCTTTCAAGCCAAATACTTTTTATATTCACCACCAGAACACCTGCCAATGCAAAATCTTTTTGCAGGTTCCAGTGTTGTTCGGATTAGACAGGCTTTACTGTATTTTACTCTAACTATTTCAGAAATTCTTTTATAGTAGTGATTATACTGTTATCATGCATGTACTTGTACCACATCAAAGTATGGCACATACAGTATCTTGGAGACCTTTGACCTTGACCTACATGATTATTGCACATACTTGAACCACTTTCATAATCCAGAATCATTAGGGATTGAATGACAGACTGATTGTTCAAATATTTTTCCTTTAAGTATGGTTAAGATCAACCTGAAATCAACATCTGTCAAACAAGCAATTAAAAATGTTTCCTTTCAGGCTTAACCCCTGACACTCCTCCCTCAATATTAAAGGTTCCTGTTGATTTGTGAATGTCAAAATAGTCTTAACTCTGATTTGACTTTAATATCTCATAAAAACATGAAATGTTTCCTTGAAAAGCTTTGCTTGTAATACTTGTGATACTTATGGTATATGACATGAATTCCCAATTTATACCACCCATATAGTGACCTGTTTCATGGCCTTAAATGAGCATGATTAACACCACTGGACAAAATACTAAATCATAGTAATTTTTTATGATATTGGAGCCACCACTGAACTATGACTCTTCAACTCTGTATGGGGGAACACTATCTTAACATATGAAATATCTAGATTGGTCAATTTTCTTGACAGCCATAGAGGGCATGACCAATAGTTCCTCAAAGGATAGGTATCGATATGGTGAACTGAATTCAACAATGTTTTTCTCTTAAACCAATTATTTAAAAAATTCTGTAAAAAACATGGTCGTTTAAATTTAATGTTGACTGATTGGCAACAATTTAATGTGACAATCATTTAGAAATATTTTATATAACTGTTTTTGTTACCATTTTTTTTGTTTTTTTTAGTGCAATTGTCTATGCTCCTTTCTACCAATTCTTGAGAATAAAATGAAATGTCTTTCCGAACCTTGTTTGAACAAAATAGCATATACAACATTTTCTTAGACCTCTCAATATTAAAGTTATACAAAGGAACTTTTGGCTGATTTTAAAAAAGTATTCAAAAAATTAAAACAAAACCCCCCAAAAATAGATAAAAATCAAGATAAACTTTTCATTTTATTAACAAGATACATTTTTAGAATCAACCAAAATTTCCTTTGTACAATTACAATATTGAGAGACCTGTTGTATTTATGTCGTTTTGTTCCACTGAGGTTCGGAAAGATGTTTCATTTCATTCTGAGCATATGATAACAAGAACAAAAGAAGTGTCCGATGTGTTTTCTAATACAATATAGTGAAAAGTATGTTTATTTTTTTCAAATTATATTGTTACCATTCAAAAGATGACCATTAAATTGACAATGTTTTAAATCTTTAGAATTTTTTGATCACTGGTTTAAGAGAAATGTGTGTTCAAAAAGTTCACCATATCGATACCAATCCTTTGGGGCTGGACTGCAGTGAAAATAAAAGTTAAGCGAGTCAGAGTCCATTACTGTGGCTTCGATAATTTAAATTACTGTATAAATACAAATATCAGAAATACAAGAAGCCACTAACTAAATTGGCTAATTTTATCTTCAGTACCACTCCCCCTACTCAAAGATACATAAGTATGTCTTGATAATTGTCGATATTTAATCCTTCGCATTTAGCGTGAGACAGCACAGAATAATCATGTTTCTCAAATGTTTTCACTAATCTGCCAATAATTAAGTTAGTTTTTTGCTAGTAAAATCTAAACAATGCCATAAAGACTGAACTTTGAGGCATCAAGAGGGTTGAAAAAGCTCATCTTAACCTGCACAAATATGCACTTTATATCATACAATTATCTTATTTACGACAAAAGTCATGCTAAAAAGAACTACTCAACCCAAGGAAGTACAGTATGTTATGTACATTCATAGCACCTTACATAGTTCTTGCAAAGAGTTTTCATCCTTCTATACTTGTAAATAATGTTCTCAAAATATTTGTATGAGAAACTATTGTAATTAAATGCTTTATACATCCAAAAGGATATCAAGCTAATTAGAATATTGTATTAAATGTATGTAATATTACTGTTGAATAATAAAAAAAAGAACGATGATGTTCTATTATTCTGATGAAACTTCATCCCTTTATCCCTAAAATGTAAGCCAAAGCCTACAGTATGTATAAGGACTGTTTTCTAAATATGAAAAAAGATTCGACTCGTTCTCATGTTTCTTCGTATATTATTGTAACCATTTTATCAAAATGTTTCTCAATTGTCATGAAATCAACTAATACACTAGATTGGTAAAATTCCAAAATAACACTTAAATATTTAAATTTCAAGTAGGGAAAAAAATTTATGTTTAGACTAACTTCTTAAACTAACTTAACACAAGCAAATATAGGTCAATATGACTAAGTTACATAAGTATCTTGATTTCTGGTTTATATGTGTTTTACTATCAGTTTATTTATTGATTATAGCGCTGTTATGTTTATCTAACAAATCAGAAGTGATTGTGTTCCGCATAATGTGTGATCACGTTTTAGATAATATGCCTCAAAATTAGATTTAGAAAGATATCAAATAGCAAGAAATGGGAATGAATTCTGAACATGATAAGATGGCACATATGCGAACCATGTTTAAATCATATGTTTGAAAGCTCCCAGAGACAGTAAAAATGAATTTCAAAAAATTACCATACTTTGGCTCAAAATGTTCAACTCTGAATATACCTTTGGTACCTCTTAAATGTGTTCCACTTTGGAGGTGTTCCACATATAGAGGTTAATTTAATATTGAGCCAATGGGTCATGAGGCTCTGAAGTGTTCCTCTTACAGAGGTGTTCCACTTGACAGTTTTTACTATACTCAAAAACATGACAACTATGACATAAGATTCCACATAATTGCTTAAAACATCCAGAAACTATTACCAAGGGACTCTAAACCTGAATGAATGAAACACATTTGCTACCTTAAAAATAATGTTTCACTTGGGTTGCATCTTACTTTCAGAGATCCATCCCACATACTTTAATGGCTAAGTGAATTTGGAAGTATTCCACTTATGGAGTATTTTTCCCTATACAGGTGTTTCACTTACAGAAGTGTTCCTCTTTCTTTACAGGTTACACCATTTGCGAATGGTAAATCATTGTTCCAAAGAGGTCACATTTTGATAAAATGCTTGCTTCATTAAACTAATGAAGATTCAACCATATTATCACCAAGTGTTTTGTTCTATTTACTGACCTGTTTGCAGAATTCATGCCATCTTTCATCACACCCGTCAACTCTCTCTTTCCAGTCCTTGTGAAATCACCCTAGAAACAATACAACCTATGAATAAATTTTCATATACACAATGTTTGTCTTCACTAATGTTTTTCTTACAATTTATATCTGGAAATTGATAACGGGCGGGCAAAATTTACTTTGAAAAAAATATGAGCCATTTTGAAAATGTGAAACCCAGATTTAGAAAAATGGTGGGGAAATTGGCAGAAACATTTTATAATTTTTTTTTATGAGAAAAAGCATAGTCTGGGTCAGGGCATCTTAACCTCTGAACAGCACCATACGCTTATCTCAATCTTACTTTATCACGTTTATTCAAGTTTATCTAAAGCTTTCTCTGGATGCCAGATATCTGTCATTCTCTTGCAAAACTTGCTTATATCCATTCTTTGAAAATTACTCCATATTTTCCTTGTTAATTTCCCAAACTATACATTAACAATGTTAATTACCCCATTTGCTTCTTTTTCTATCTATTCTTTCGTAATATACCAATCTATCCCTTGTTTATTTTCCCCATTTTTAGTTGTTTATTTCCTCTGGTCTATTCGTTGCTAATGCCACCCCCCCCCCCATCTATACCTTGCCAATTTGCCCATTTTTGGCTAATGCTCCCATTTTTTCCTACCCTATGTATGCCTGACTCATGTCGAGATATTATTAACTAAACTAATACCTTGACTTTTTCTAAGCTTTTCCATCTTTTCCTAGCTAAAGTCAACATTATTTCCTAACTTATTTTCCCACCTTTCCCTAGCTAATTGCCCATCTTTTTCACGCTAATATTCCCATCTTTCCCTGCTAATTGCCCATTTTCTTTGCTTATGCCCCCATCTTTTCCTAACTAATGTCCCCATCTCTTTCTCGCTAATGTACCCATCTTAAAGATGGGGACATTAGCAAGAAAAAGATTGGAAAATTAGCAAAGAAAAGATTGGGAAATTAGCAAGAAAAAGATTGGGTAATTAGCAAAGAAAAGGTGGGGACATTAGCAAAGAAAAGATGGGGACATTAGCAAGAAAAAAGATGTGCAGCGAATAGCAAGGAATTTCTTTGCTATTGCCCCCATCTTTTTCTTGCTAATGTCCCCATCTTTTCTTTGCTAATTTCCCAATCTTTTTCTTGCTAATTTCCTTATCTTTTTCTTGCTAATGTTCCCATCTTCTCTTGCTTATGTCCCCATCTTTTCTTTGCTAATGTCCCCATCTTTTCTAGTCAATGTCCCAATATTTTCTTTGCTAATGTCCCTATCTTTTTCTAGCTAATGTCCCCATCTACATATTGTTAATTTCACTGATCTGATCAAAACTTCAATCAGGGTATACTACTATACATAGGAATAACAAACTATCTTTCATAAATGTCCATTAGCTTAAGGTGCTATGGAACTTAACAGGAAATGACAAAACAGGAAGTGACAATTTTTTTTGCATTTTTAGATATTTTTGGAATAAAGATAACAGAGTTCTGGTTTGACCTCCAGTCAATTTAACTATTTCCACATATCATTTACATGACCAGGATCACAATGTGCATGGTCAGAATGACCCTAAACATGATGAAATAACCTTTTTAGCCCTTTGAAAGTGTGACTGAAAAAAAGCTAAAAGTAGGAGCGTAGGGAAGGTCACTGAACAGAATCTTTTGAATTTTTCAGAAAATGTGCCCAATATATTGCTCTAAATGATACAATCTTTGAAAATTTGATATCATTCATAGAAAAAGAAAAAAAAATGAAAAAACTGATTTGAAAAGCGATCTATTTTCCTTTTTATGACTGCCATTTTTGTTTAAGACAATTTTCTAAAATTTCAAAGATTGTACTAGTTAGAGCATTATATTGGGCACATTTTCTGAAAAATTCAAAAGATTCTGTTCAGTGACTATCCCTATGCTCCTACTTTTAGCTTTTTTTCAGTCACACTTTCAAAGGGCTAAAAAGGTTATTTCATCATGTTAAGGGTCATTCTGACCATGCACATTGTGATCCTGGTCATGTAAATGATATGTGGAAATAGTTAAATTGACTGGAGGTCAAACCAGAACTCTGTTATTTTTATTCAAAAAATATCTAAAAATGCAAAAAAACTGTCACTTCCTGTTTTGTCATTTCCTGTTAACTTCCATAGCACCTTAATGATCTGGCCATTTATAATGTTAACCACTGGACATCTATCAACAGTTCCAAGTGCTACTCTAGATTAATCTAAATTTTAGGAGATCAGTGATAAGAGACTCAAAGAATCAAGTTCAGTCTGCAAAACAGAGCGGCAGTTATCTGCAATGATATTCTCTGTTATATGAGTCCTATGTGAACAGAACATGTACAGTGAAACCTGTCTAATTTAATCTGAAGAGAGCAGCCAAAATTAAAAGTGTTTGGTCAGATAAGCAGTTGTCCACAAGATTTTCCAAGTCATCCTGGGGACTTTGCTTGAAAGAAAACATATTGTTTGAATAAAAACCACTGTATTTATGGCCAGAAAGTACTCATGGTGATATGATCGGCCAAAATAACAGACGTGCCACTTGGTGAAATCGATAAAATAATATATAAAAAGATGTTTTATTTTCGGATATTTGTGTAAAAAGATGCGTAATAATACAGTATTTCCATTCAGTATTGTAATTATTATATTATATTATGAAGGAAAAAAATATAATCAGCATAATATACTACATTATATAGAGATTAATATAATATAATTAGAAATAAGTGAGATCCAAATATATTATTTGTACATATAAACATTTACCAAATCCGATTATCTCAATAAGAATATGTAGCAGAATGTTTTATTCCCGGTATAATATTCTTTTTTAGAATTATTTGCGCCAATTTATATTTATTCTGTCTTTCTAAAATATTATTTGGTCATATTTATCAATCCAAACTGATGATTGCAGTCTATTTAGATTTTTTCTATTCTAAAAAATATTATTTTCTAGTATTTTCCAATCTAAGCAGAATATATCAAATTATATTGTATTATTTGGGTTCTAAAAAATATTATACTCGATTATTCTCGTCCAACTTGATGTACAATCCATCTGGTTAATTACTTAACCAAACAAAACAAAGAATGCACAGCATGGCACTTAATAGGATTAACCGTTCTACTGGCCTTCTCATCTCTATTACTTACACATGTCACACATATTTTATTTTGACTGTTCTATTTATATTTGAAAAATATTAACAAATAAATGTTTAGAAGAAAGAAATTTAATTTGTTTTAAATTAATGTTAACAATGGAGTAAAAATGTGAACAAGTCATCAATTAAAAATCAAATAATTAACTTTCCAATGAGTTAATCGATTCAATCCAAATTTTAACACAATGTTAATCATAGAAAGAGGGATTTTATACAATTAAACAAATATGAAAAACTTAATTTGCAAATTATTATTTTTGTGGAAAATAAAACAATCGGCTCTAGATATTAATCCATTCACTCTAACAAACGGATTAACTCTAACAATCGGATTAGTTATCAGTGAACAAAACTCATTTCATAGAAATTGAAAAAACTTAGAGATTAAAGTATTACTTATATTGCTCTGTCATCAATACATGTACATGTATGTGAATGGTGAAAATCTTCATGATTTTGAAAGAATTATTGGCCAAGGGGAGGGGATCGTTACTCGTTAGGTACGGACCTGTATAAAATACGTAATGTTTTTAGCTAAAATTTGAGCAGTTCTGTGTCAAGACTATTTTTGTGGTTGGCAGAGTGAATACGGGTGGTTATTTGTGCCTGTGTAAGAGTGGCGCTTAAATGTTGTTTGTTGTTAACTTTATATGGCAGAGAAAGAATGGAGTAAAAATGTGAGGAAACCCATTGATTAAAAATTAACTTTCCGTTGAGTCAATCAATTTAATCCAAATTTTAACACAATGTTAATCATAACATAAGGGACATTATAGAATCAAATTAATATGAAAAACTTGGTTTTTAAATTATTTTTTTGTGGAACTTAGAACTGTTGGCTGTAGGAAATTAATCCATTGCCTCTAACAAACGGATTAGCTTTCAGTGTTAACAAAACTCATATTAAAGAAATTGAACAATTGGGGATTAAAGTTTTACTTATCATATTGCTCTGACATACATGTACTGTATGTCAACATGTTATTTACATCAGCTTGTTCTACCATGCACCAATTTGCTCAAAGCGTAATCATCGCTATGTCAGATGAAACATTAGGAATAAATGTAAAATGTGCCCGCTTCTTTATTTTCATTATCAAACAACTAAACATACCGAATATACATTTGGAAATGGAAAACAAAAAATTAATTAAAACCAGCTTTAATTAAAATGGTCCAATTGTAGTAGAAACAAATGTATTGCATCATGGACTAATCTGTTGTTTATATCCCCAGTTTATATCTCAGATATATGGATAACAGAAAAAGCATGAATTGTGAAATGTGAGAGAATACACGTTTTAATTTTGTTTTAGCATGGCTTAACACCACTTGTATCAGTTAACCTAATGTACCTTTCTTATTTATTATCAGCGATTTGCCAGAAGAAATCGGAGCAATACATGTACATCCAATATAATACAGGCTCGGAATAAGTTTTAGCCCAGTGGATCAATTTTCAAAACAAACCAAGGGGTCACACTTGATAATTTTGGCCCGAAATCACTTAACAGTGCTCAGATTGGTAAAAATGTAGGATTTTGAAAAAATTTTGGCAAGGGGGGGGATTTACTTGAACCCCCCCCCCTCCCTGGCCATGGACCTATACCAAATTCTTAATGTATTGATATATAGCAGTTTCGTGTCATAAATGTTTTGTGTTGTTTGTGAAATGATTAAAGGTGTTTGTGTCTGTGTAAGAGGGGGCTTTAAGTGTTGTTTGTTGTAAACTTAATTTGACAGAAAAACAATTGAGTTAAATTGTGAAGAAACCCAATAGAGTAAAATGTGAGGAAACCCATTGATTAAAAATTAACTTTCCGTTGAGTCAATCAATTAAATCCAAATTTTAACACAATGTTAATCATAACATAAGGGACATTATACAATCAAATAAATATGAAAAACTTAATTTGCAATTTATTTTTCAGTTGAAATTAGAACCATTGGCTGTGGAAATTAATCCATTAACTCAAACAAACAGATTATTTATCAGCGTGAACAGAACTCAAATCATTGAAATTGAATAATTAGGGATTAAAGTTTGACTTATTATATTGCTCTGGAATGTCAATACATATATGTGAATGGTGAAAAACTACATGATTTTGACAGAATTGTTGGCCACGGGGAGGGGGTCCTCAGCTACGGGTCTGTATAAAATGCGTAATGTGTTTATTGAATATTGAGCAGTTCCCTGTCATGACTGTTTTTCCGGTTGGCAAAGTGAATACAGGTGGTTGTTTGTACCTGTGTAAGAGGGGATCAATTTAAATGTTGTTTGCTATAAACTTAATGTGACAGAGAAACAATGGATTAAAAATGTGAGGAAAAAAAATTAATTAAAAATTCAAAAAATAACTTTACAATGAATTAATTGGTTGAATCAAAAATTTAACACAACGTTAATCATAACATGAGGGACATTATACAATCAAATATGTATGTAAAAACTTATTTTGCAAATTATTTTTGTGGAATTAAGAGCCATCAGCTGTAGAGATTAATCCATTAACGCTAACAAACAGATTAATTATCAGTATGAATGAAACTCATTTCATAGGAATTGAATAATTAGGGATTAACGGCTCGAAAATAACAGCGTATAATAGGTTTTTGATTGCAAATGCCAACATATTATTTAGTCCTGACATGAATATTATTCTATATTATTTGGCATTATATGTTGTTCCCTTTAAATAATACACGAATAATATTATTAAATCAAAAATAATTCTTAAAAATACGTATTATATTTTTTTCCGTTATAATAAAAGAAATAACTGCCTATTATACAGGAAAAAATATTCTCTACCATTCTCTCTTAATGCAACTTATTTAGCAGTATATTAAACATTTTATTCTATATTATTTTTACTTTTTTACCAAGTGTGCCTCGGTAACTATATGGCCCTAAACTATGTAGTGGGGACATAAAAAGCATACCTTAAGAGCTGCCGTGCCCGCGTATTGTCGACTTATCGCATCACCATTGTTTGCCCAGACCTGCTGGTAGATGACTCGACAAGACAGAGGGAGGCTTTCATCTGGTGGGAGGAGCCCTAATTTACGGCACTGAAAATAAAAATTATCAAAAAATTACCAGTCGCCCTTGTAGGCAATGTGACATGTCACTTATACAACTGATGGGAAATGTAAGATCAAATAAAATAATTTTGAACTGATAAAACAATAATAAGCTCAATTGCTCAAACAAAGATTGGTTCCGTTGATTCCGTTGCTTTGTGTATATAAATGGGTGTTTGAACATCAAAATGGATGGCAGCTTCAGTAAATACTTCTTATTGGATGTAGACCTGGTCTACGAATCCTTTTAAAAAGTTGAGCATTTCCAAATGGTAATTGTACCATTTTAATTTATCAGAGTCTCTCTTTATCTCAAGCTTGTTCTTCCAAGGGATAGTCGAGACTATGGATCCTACAATGTAATTTCTCAGATGCGAGTAGGTAGTTACCAGTTTCGCCACCAGGTGGTTGATTCGGGGGAAATAACATGGCAGGGTATTACAAAATCCCTTAAACTTGAATATGCATCAGTTTTAGTGGTTCACTTTTCAAATTACCCTTGTGTATGTGATAGTTATACAAATTAAAATATGTCCAGGAAAAGAAAATATTATCTGCTCAACACAAGAAAAGATATTTCACTTTTTGTAGTTTTACAACATTGGGTCTCTGGGGAATCTCCCCAACCTATTTTCAAAGAAAATTAAATTTTCAAAGTTGATAAACTCCTTTCAAAACCACATTTTTAGATGTAATTTTATATGTAGATTCCAAATATGACACCAGTTTGACTGAATTGTGACGTAAATGACGTAAATCAAGATTATTTCTACTCGCATCTGGGATATTGGACCCATGTAATTATACCTGTATTTCCATAACAGTTCTTGCTAGGGCAGTCTGCACTACATTAGTTCTGTCCAAGCAATCAATACAGTTAACTCTGAAGACACTCCTTTGTTCACATATCATACCCTTCCTGTCAACCCTAAATATAGAAACATCCAATGAAATATACATCTTAATGAATATAGAAACATTCAATGAAATATACATCTTAATGAATATAGAAACATCCAATGAAATATACATCTTAATGAATATAGAAACATCCAAAGAATATACATCTTAATGAATATAGAAACATCCAAAGAAATATACATCTTAATGAATATAGAAACATCCAAAGAAATATACATCTTAATGAATATAGAAACATCCAATGAAATATACATCTTAATGAATTGAAGAATCCCAGTTCCTCCACATGCATTGATATGGCATGCCACATACAGTACAACAGGAAAGTGTAATACGAATTTCAAAAATAAGGAGGGATATATTATTTATTAAATCATTTATTCTTCTTAATGTGATTTTTATATTTTAAAATCACAATAAATTATTGTACACACCAAAAATACCTCATATGTTATTGTACATATGCTTGTACATACCAACAATATCCAATATATTATTGTATATACCAACAATATATCATGTTATTGTACATACCAACAATGTATCATAAGTTATTGTACATACCAACAATATCTCTTATGTTACTATAAATACCAACAGTATCTCATATTATCCTACACTTAGTGTACTAAATGTATAATAACATTAAAAAATAAATTTGATATTTATGGGCAAAATGAATATCCGGAGGATATCGTGACGATATACTCCGGAAAACCCAATATGCGGAGGATATTGTGACGATATACTCCGCTTGTTGATTTCCCGCCAAATTGACTCTATTTGGCATGAAATTCATTTTGCAATGATATTATACATTTAGTACACTCCTTGTAAGTGTAGGATAATAAGAACATCCTATGATTTTTTCAGAATATCATTTTAATCTACTCGGTGATATTGATATATGCACTCGTTCGCTTCGCTCTCTCGTGCAGATATCAATACCACCTCGTAGATAAAAATGATATTCCTCAAAATCATAGGATATCCTATAATTATTGTACGTGCAAACAATATCTCATATATTATTGTACATACCAACAATATCTCATGTTATTGTACATACAAACAATATCTCATATATTATTGTACATACCAACAATATCTCATGTTATTGTACATACAAACAATATCTCATATATTATTGTACATACCAACAATATTTCTTTTGTTACTATAAATACCAACAATATCTCGTGTTATTGTACATACCAACAATATCTCATATATTATTGTACATACCAACAATATCTCATATCTTTAATGACATCAGGAATGCTTTCAGTCAGGACATCCACATTCTCAAACTTCATACCTCGACTGTAAATAAGAAAACATTAAACTGCAAAAGTCATTAAGCGTTAATTTTGAGAGGGAAACAAAAGTTGCTGAAAATGCTATTCCCAGTATATAAGTACCGGATTTTGAAATTTTGAAATAAACTGGAATCCATTTCCCCCAAAAATATTCCAGTCAAATATAAAATCTAAACAATTGGCTCCCTTTACATCTAAATGGTGATGAATAAAATAACGTTAGGCAGATTAATTTTTTCACTTGTCAGGTTGTATCTTGAGCAAAAGCAATTTTATCCTGCAGGCAAAATAAGTATCTTAACAGAATAGTTGAAAACTTTCATCTGGGCAGTAAAACCACTTACATAAGTCTTTTGAGACTTTGTGATATCAATTTATACATTCAAAATAGCAACATCAATCTTAATCGATCAACAGACAATTTCAGTGAACCAGAAAGACACACAGCACTTACCAGTACTCATGGAAGTCAAATGTAATATAAGTAAGATCTGGGGAGTTGTTTTCCAATATATGATCGAGGTATGCATCTGCGATTACTTTCTCCTTTCCTGATTGGTCAACAAGATTTACGATGACACCTTTTTTGTAGGTTTTTAGTTCATCCTTAAAGTGTTGCTTGAAGGCTTCCTGACATTCTCCCATACCTGGAGATAGAGAAATATTAAATCTAATTTAATTTTAATTTATAAAATAGTAATTGAATCACATTCAAGTCACCAAGAAACTGGGGATTAATTTGGCAAAATGTCATCACCTGGAAAAGTGTAACAATTGTTACTAATACCAATAATACAAAGAAGTCATAAAAATGGTTGCTATGATGATAAGTCACCACTTCTTGTTACTGAACTGATGGAGAATGTTCAGTGAAGTTCTTTTTCCCCTTTTTTATTCCAATTAAATACATTTCATGACAGAACAGCCAATACTTTTGACAATTGTGTATATGTCAAACAGTCATGCTGGTATTTTAGACAAATCTGTCAACATAACCTATCACTATTCTTATTTAGTAGCATCCATATTATATTTCTGTATTGTGGGATTGTTTCATTCTGTATTTCCTATATAAACAAATGACAATTGATTATCGAATAAATTGTATAATGTACCATCACATATAGAGTATACAATTGTAGACCTCTCTTGAGGTCAACCGGCAAAATTGTATTCCGATACTGTAAACCTTGTACAGTATTGTTGACCGCGACCGTAGGTAAAAAATTGTGTTCATTTTTTCCCCCAAATTTTTTTTTCCCAAATTTATAAATAAATTTAAAATCAAAAAAAAAATTGGTAATTTTTCACGAATTTTTGGAAAACTTGAAGACTTTTCAAAATATAAAAAAATATTTTTTCAAAAGTACATCAACAGTACCTAGTAGCGGTCAACAGTACATATTGTTGACCTCTAATCAACCAATCAGAATTGAGTATTTTAATTGAGGTACTAACAATAAAACTTGTTTAAGGGGAAAACCTTTGAAACCTCGATAAAGAGCTCCATTTGGGAGTTGTTCCACTTATAGAGGTTTATTTAACATAAGTTGATCTTGAACTCTTAAAGAGTTCTACTAACAGAGGTGTTCTACATCTACAGCTGTTCCACTTCACAGGTTTCATTGTATATGTTTATTCCAAATAAGGCAGTGTGACATTTGATAGAATGGTTGCAAAAATGGATTTGAATACCTGAGTTTAAAGAACAAATGAATTCAGAAGTTGACTGACAAAATAGCATATGTGGTATTCTATAACACAAGCTAAAATACATTATAATGATCTGTTCCATTCAATCCTCATGCGTATTCTTGTTTTTACAAGCTATTTTGGATAGATTGAAAAGATAAATGTTTTTTAAGAATTTCAGGTACTTCAGAACACTCTTCAAACAGCCCTTTGATGAAGTTCCTAACCATTCTTCTTATTTATTACACTTATCCAAAGCTCTGTATTTATTTATAAACTAACACTTCTGGTTTACAAAAGGAAATGGGAAAACTATGTTGTTCAAAGAGTCAGTATGTCAATGTCTGAATGTCAAGTTTACTGAAAAGTAATCCTCCTCAGTAATCCTTTTGATTCCTTTTTGACATTTTAAAAATACCCCAATTTCATGGTATATTTTTGGACATTATAGCTACCCCCTCCATATTAAAGTCATGAAAGTAAACAGCCATCTGGCTTACTTATTAAATTAAAAATCATACTATATAAATGGCCAAACTAAATGTATGAAAATGTCACTACTGGTGAAAAATGAAAATGAAACTTTCGATCAGTTTCATGTTGAGTCAAAAATTTACATTCAGGAAAATATTCCTCAAACAAAATAGAATTTTCATTATTATTACTATATCATTATGTTGTCCATGCCTTCTACAGTGTGAATCAATATACACATAACACATCCTTCCAAATTAGGCTGGGTGAAAGAAGTGAAGAAAATTAATCTTTATTATTAAACAAGATCAGGGTCAATACAACACCCCTACTTCTTATATCTTCCAATCTATTTTAAAATAAATCAAAACAACTACAACATTTTGTTTGTACCAAGCTACACAGGATTAATTATTTTTTGAATTAGTTGCTGAATTATATATAGGTATACACAAATAATTTAGTCATTGATAAATACATAAGTAGATAAAAAGGGTTTAACTTTAGTAAACTTTTGATGTAGATATAACCTTGGAGTAAGTATAAGACTGAAGCTGAATCAATTCAATTTCAAAATAATTTATTTCAGTTTTCATTACAAAATTTACAACATTATACGGGCTATGACACCCCAGGGGGTGTGTAACTGCCAACAATTAAATTTACAATAAACATGATATAACAAATTAATATGAAATTTTGGTCAATATGATTATAATAAATAGCCTTAAATACAGAAGCTTGATGCAAAATGCTTGGTTTTCATTAAATTCACAAATCAGGGGATAAAAACATGTCCAGTAATTTCGAATGGTACCACTGGAAATAGTAGTTTATGGTAGTAGTGTGTTCCTCATGTACCTGGAATCTGATGAGTCTGTTTCTAGATATAATAAGGAAACACTGTAAAACGATCACAGGCTACCGAGTAAAATCGAACCTACCTCTCTTTGGATCAAAAAATGGAGGTATGCATCCAGTATCTTTTTCTAACAATAAAATTAAGCTCAACTACAAATTTTGACATTTGATGTTCCTTTTTACATCTGCAGAATCAGTTATAAGTTTTCATTTATTTTTTTTATTTATTTATTTATATTTATATTATACGACCATGCTAAATAAAACATTCCAACGGAATCTTATCATGGTCTATATAGCAAATACACAAGTTATACAATGAACAATAGAAATTATCACCCACATATTGTCTCATAATATATAACCTTTGTTTAGATATTGTACCATTACATGATTACATTTGCCATAATATGTGTTCTTCATAAGGCTGCATAATGATTTCAAGTACATGTACATGCACAACATACATACTTCAAGTATTCTAGCTATGCAAAGTTATGCAACAGGTTCCCTAGGATGAATATACTACCAGTCCATGAGATCATGCAAGCTGAAATGCGGCTTGTTATTGAAAATTATATTAGCCCTATTTACACAGCACATGACATTTTAAGACGTCTTGGCTAAAACGTTTTAGTAAAATCATGTTGAGTTTACACCACAATTTTCAAGACGTCTTACGAAATATGATTGAGTTTACACTTGTTTTTCTAAAACGTCTTAGAGATATGTAGGCATACATGTAAAATGAAAAAAGCAGTTGAGCACTTATTGAAGGACCGTTCAGTCAACATAGCTATTCCTTTCCCGCTTCTATACTTTCTGCAAAAGAATGCATCAGTTTCAAAAAATATATGTCCTAAAGAAAGCATTTTTAAAGCATGAAAGAGGGCAGGAAGATTTTGTGCATATATTAGGATTATGAAAGAACGCTAGGCGAATTAGTTCTTCTCAATATTTTTTGGATGATAGTATTAGAAAAAGAGACGAGACAAGAGAAAGGACCATGCTACACATGTAATCAGGAAGTTTCAAATTTTTTGTTCAGCGCAACACATAAAACCGGGCTAAAAGCTCTTAGCTAAAACTGATGGATTTACACTCGCTTGTAAAACGTTTAACGCTAAGACATCTTGGCTATGACTAGAATCCTGCAATGTTTTAGCTAAGCACTCTTAGCCGAGAGCTCTTGAGAAAATCTGGATTTACATTATATTTGTAAAACGTTTTGACGCTAAAATGTTTTGGCCAAGATGTCTTAGGGCTCTAGTGTAAATCAAACAATTGAATATTAAGAATCTTATCTGGTTAAATGTGTGTCAATCAATTAATCAATGAGTGATTAAAATTTACACCTCTAAATTATTTATATAATAAGCTTGCTGAGGCAGCAAATTAACTGCTTCAATTAAATAAAATACAACTTATACAATACTGTCTATCTGAGCTATTTTCCCCCATACCCCTCCCAGCTCAGAAGCCCCTCCCCCCTTTCTAATCTCCACCACTAGAGAGCTCATTATAATGCCTTCATGGCAGTTAGCACTTGAACATGCTACTATGACAACTACTAACTGTGCATCATTATTGTAAATGAATAAAATAAAATAAAAAAACATTTGTAAAAGGGTCAACATTATGGATAGGTAACAGGTCGAGGGTACACTGTATTGTTTTTCTGGGTCTCTAACCTGTCAAATCCAAATTTAAATTGCTTGGTAACCATGGCAACCACTTTACTTTGTATATCATATAATGGTCAAGCAAGCAGTACTGTTGATTAAGTGTTTATTTTTAAAGCTGATCATTGCCATCTGATGTTGATATAGCAACCTAAATATTTACTCTCTAAATTACAGAAGTGGAAGACCCCCTATTGGATATGTGTATTATCCTACTTTTTCTTTCCCCATACTGTGCATGGAGAATATACTAGTATAGTATATCTAGGAAGCAGGATGGATATTTCTGCAGTACTTCGGGACATACACATATTTCCCTCAGGATACAGCCCATATCCTAAACCGACTCAGTACATAACCCTTGTTAATCCAATAACAAGAAATTATTACATTAATTCCTTGAAATCTCATATCCACTACCCTAATATATAAAAAACTAAAACCAACACTTAAAGGTTTTATAAGTAATGTGAAGGAATATTTTATTATGGACAAACGGGTTGGCAGAGGCGATAAGTGGAAAATCATGGAAACAAAATTAAACAAATGAAACTGATGATTTTTTCCTTTAAATAAAAAAAATGCCAATGGTGTAACGTCTCTTAAGACGAAATATTTAACCACTGTACTGTATTGTAAAATTGTTAAATGTAGGTTTACCATGTAACTGTACTGTAATTGTTTTTTGCAGTTGCTTTAACATGCTTATTCTTTGAAATAAAAAAAATTATAAAAAACAAAACAAAAAACAACAACACAAATTTGATTTTTTAAAAAGCTGCATACCTTGTTAATCTAAAATGCAATCAACCATTGCAGTTTCCATAAATGGAAAAATACTCCCATCATAATATACTAATACAGAATAAAATTCTAGAATTTGTTTTGGTTTCATAATAAATTAACTTTGCTATTAAAGAATGACAAGGATTGTATTTTTCTATGAAAAAGACACATGAGTCTTTAACATATTTACAATGAATATTTTCTGATAACAAGGAGTGGTACATTTACAGGAAGTTAAACTGAAACCAGATTTACCAAATGATTTCTCTATTTATCATCCTGATATCAGATCAGATATGATTCAGAAGCTGTATATTTTTATTACTTTTCACTTTCATTTTCCAAATCTTATAATTAAAGACTTTATTCAGCTGCCTGTCAAAATGCTTTTATTCTATTTAGGAATCATTTCATTACTGCAGTTTTAAGGTATATAAAGTTCTTAGATGATCACAATGCACGATGCATCCTGCTAAAGTGAGCATCTCAATTGCATCACATTGTCCAGAAGAACAGAGGCAGAGTAGGAATGAATTACCATCAGGCCCGTAGCCAGGGGGGTCTCATGGGTTCAAGCGAACCACCGCCCTGGCCAAAAATTCTTTCAAAATCATGACGTTTTTCATCATTCTGAGCACTTTTTGAGTGATTTGGGTCATTTTTGGAACCAAATTGTCAAAAGTGAATTCCCCCTGGAATTTTTCAAAAAGTGAACCCTCCTTGGCAAATCCTGGCTACGGGCCTGTACCATGATGATCATAATGCGTCATTAGCTATATACTGGGACATACATTGGTTCTTTAGATGTGCATTATGTATCACCATGTTAACAACTGTTTAATGATAAAGAAACAGTTCAAGAGTCCAATATAATGTGCTTCAGGCTTGGTTTGCAAGATTGGAACAAGAGAGTTTGACTTTTGTTTGACTTTTCCTTGTAATTCAATTCTCAATTCAATGTATTAAATTGTTTGGGTTACTTAAGACTGTAATAATATCTAGAATTTGTGAAGGGATGTCAGCATGACATGACAATATGACGCTGAAACAGATGTTTAGTATTGAATAAACTGTTTATTGTTTATACTGCTCTGGGGATGACGCTTACGAGTACAAATAAATAACAAATAAATATGAATAAATACATTGCTTTCAGGATGTTTTTTCTTAATCTTGTGTATTTTAAAAAATATTTTTCCAATTTTCTTCTATTCTTTGATTTTTATAAATTCTTTTTTTATTTACTCTTCCTATTTCTATTTGTTAACTATGGTTTCACATGATCTCAAAGAAGTGACCCATGGTATGATAAACAGTTAGGCCCTTGCAAAGTATATGTTTGTTTAGCAGTGCCTTCCTACATTCTAAAATCCCTCAGTCTAGTCTTTTTTCTTGTATTTTTAATATTTGAAATTTTTTTATTTGACATGTGCTTCTCACTTAAAGGCAGAATCAAATCTATGGGTGTGACAAAATTACAAGCAACATGTACAATCGACCTACCAATCTATTCCCTACAATCTCAAATACAATATCTACAAAAAGATTCACGATATGTTATAAATTGGTGAAGTTATAATAGATTCAAACGGCAAAAATAGGTGGAAAATGTTTATATTCTCCCAAATAATAAGAATTGTAACCATTCTTATCGAAAAATAATACATTATTTTAAAAATATTTAGTCTTCCTGATATAAAGTGTGAACTTTGGGGATTTTTAGACATTAGACATGAAAAAGAATGACATAAGCCAGAAATATTCTAAAATTGAAACCAACTTTTGTTGGGCTGCTCGCTAGATCTGTTTCTCTTTTTAAGAGCCGGTGGTGTTAGGTTTTACGATTAAATAAAAAAAAGTATCGTAAGTCATTATTGTCATTCTGACACTCATCGCATCTTTTTTTTCAATAAAACATGCTCTCGCTGGCATCTCATGGCTGAAGATAAATATGATGCCATGGTTTATTACGATGCATTATTGTCACTTTTCACACATTTCAAAAAGAAATCCTGCTAACCTAACAATTAGCCCATAGGGCCTTACTAGAGGTATATCTTTACAGGTAGTGTTGAAATACTGATCAAACAATACCAGGTTAGTACAACTGTGATTGTCAATAGAACACAGTCTAGCATTCAGTCTCATATATGACAGACATCATTCAACAGAGATAAAGGTAAGAACAACACTTGATTATCTCCTTTAGAGATCTGCTCCTTTCGGAGCACAGCGCAACATATGTACATTTAACTGTATGTACTTCAATACATGGTAATTTGTCACACTCATGTACATTTAATTGACTAATGACTCTAATATGAACATGTGCTGTATTTATGATAATGTACATGTACATGTATACACAATGAGTCTCATAAAGTAAGACATGTACAAATCAATGATAAAACAATGCATTCAACATTTACTAACTCTTGAGTACTGCATGAGTGTTGATAATGACATTGAACTTGAGTATATTCATACTTACAATCTCTTACTACATTCAAATAATAAAAAGAATGACATTTTGATTTGTATGTTGGAATATTCATTTTACATTGGAATCAGCTCCTCCTTCCTTATTCCGGGAATTCGGGAGAAAATTCGGGAGTACATAAAATTCAAATAACAGGATATATGGAGGACGGAGGTGTGAAATAAAGCAAATAATTTAAGATTAAAGTAGGGTCAATACTCAATACTGGTTATTTTACCACCTACTTCAGGTAGTAGTGTATGTTCAGAAAGTTTAATGGTTTCCTCACTGGAGTCTTGTTCAAGTCTAGAGTGTATGAAAATTCAGAAAATTCAGAAAATTCAGTGACTGACTTTTTTACTAAACCCTAGGTCAATGATTTTTCTCTTTTTGTTCATTTAGAATATTTATCCATGCTCACCTAATTATTTAGGTTTATTTATGCATTTTTGGGGCAAAACTGAAAGTTAGAGACCATTTATGGAACATCTGGATAAATTGAATGCTGGAGTCAATGAGGGAAAATACATGGGCTTTATGCAAGATTAAAGAACTCAAATTGTTGCATCTGTTATTTCATTGTTTCATATACAAGCGCATGTTCCATATTTCTGGGAGGGAGAGTCGAACCTTTTAAAAATGTAGATATTTTAATTTGACTCTTTCCTCGAATGCAGTATTGATATAGGCAAAACTGTCGGTATGCTTTTCACACCTGCCCCTGCATTTGTTTAACCTAGTAATGTTTGTAATATGTCACTCTAACCTATGTATCTGGGTCTTGGAGTCACAATGACTCCGATCAGTCACGCATTTTGATAGTTATCAAGTTTCATCTCATCTTTCTACAACGCTATGCATTTGGCATCTTGAGATAGTGAAGGAATGAGAAGACACATACTGATGACAACACATGTAAATAACTGTATAGTGACCCATGTGTCGGAGAGACTGACATATATAAGAGTCAATAAAAAGAATATATATATATCTAGTTTCTTAATATTGTGAATATGTCTGTTAAGGGTGGTTGACATTGTAATTCATTATTTTGTATTTCATTGTACTGAGTAATCTTTTTCTTAAAAATGGAAAATATAGTATGACACTTTTGGATAAAAACTGGATCAGTGTTTGTATGGAGTTGTTTATTTCAATATTTAGTAGTGGAATTTTATGAACTGGAGAAAGTTACGTGTAAACAAGCTTTATTTAATTTGGTAATTTACGTTAATGAAACCATAGCAACATATAGGTACAGATGTAGTATAATGGTCTGGGACAAAAGCAGGTACATTAAATACTACATATGTAACAAGTGATAACACAGTGAAATTGTGATAACAGGAATAGTATTCTGATGCATTCTGATCTATGAAACCGTCTCTTAAACACTCTTTCGAATAGTTTGATTTTTTGATTTTGCTTCTAAAGGTAGCTCTGTATGTTCATAATTTTTACTAATTTTCATGATAATTAATAAAATGGGTAATATTGTTTCATACACGTACATGTATTTTATGTTGATATTTACATATTATGGTAGAAAACACATACAAATGAAATAAAATATTACCTCTTTCATTGATTAACAGTAAGTAAGATTAATAGAAAACTATAGACATACAGATCTACCTTAAAAGAGAGCTTCGTGTACCAATTCCTCAAACATTCAGAGAACCTCTTAGTTTACAGTTGGGGACATAAATAAATGACAGGTGGATTTGCTGAAGTGAGGATTTCCCATGTTAAAAATAAGAGAATTTACAAGAGGCCATAAATCAGTGGATGAGATTATACAAAATGTAAAATATACAAATTTTAAGGGATATGTATCTAGACAATATTGGAAATTATGGGCTTTCAGACCACCATAATTAGGAAATGGTGATCGAAAATCGACCTGTCATTTATTTTTGTCCCCAACTGTAGAGTGCAAGTTGTAAATACCATTATGACATAAGTATATATTTGAACAGCTAACTTGTATACATGATAAAACACATCATTACTGAACCTTTAAAATATTTCAATTGTTCAAAACACATGTATAAATGAAAATTATTTAACCAATATAAACAATTCATACTTGAATAGTATAAACATCCCTATTATTTTACAGTAAAATCTAGTTAAAACAATAAAATTTTAATCGAAAGCAAATGCCATTTCATACAATCAAAAACAAATCATTGCTGATTTTTTTTGTATTTACAGTGCCTAGAGAGACGATAACCAATCAGAAGCATTCATTTGATTTGTGAATTGGATTGAGAGAACAAGAAGCCACTTGTGAAACCTCAAAGGTTATAACAGTTGAGAGTTCATCTTGGAGCAGGCAGGAATATATTTTTGAGCCAACATGGGACAATTCAGAGTAACATTTTATCTCCCGCTGTGCTGCGTAATAGGTGCAGTCTTGGCAGGGGGTACGGATCATGAAGGTAAATTTTTCTCATATATATAATAACAAATAAGCAGGATGTGTATGTTAATTTTTTATTGTTGTTGTCTTATCAATTTTTGGCACTGTTGCTTGCATATTTTGCAAGTTCATATTTATGTAGTGATTAAACTAAATATCCTGAAACAAAAAAGATTGAAAAAATCAAATTAAATTGTCTTTTGGCGCTAGAAGGTAAATATCTGCACCTATTTTTTGTAACTGGCAATTTTGTCTATTAGTCAAAGCATGATGATAAAAATATATAAACAATTTGACCACAAAATTTGAAACACAAAGCTATTTATTAAAATCAGTTACAATTTTGTCTATACACTTTGGAATAATTTGAAAAAAAATGTTTTGATACTATTCAAACTTTTATAGAATGATGATTAAATTTAAAAATGATAAAATTTTAAACACATGTTAATTCTAATTTAGGTCAGTCATTAGTCCTGGGTTTCCAGGCTATATTTTGGTTCACCCAAAGGAACATTTGAGTTACAGTTGTTTTGTTCAATCTATGGAGAAGACATGAGAACCTAGTAGCTAGAGTATGATAGCGTTGATTTTCTATATCTAGTCTCCTAGTAATCAAGATACACTTGAAGGGCAAGTTAAAGGGCAGTGATATTTCTATCTAAACAAGAATTTGCCCTTTCTACATATTGTATGTCCGTGTAGAACTAGAAAACAGCAACGCCATGGAGTAGCAAATTCCACCACAAACAAAACACTTATCAAATACCTCATCATTTTGGACATTACATGATAGAAATAATAGATTTCAAAATATCTCAATTGCTAGGGTTTTAATAATATATATAATGGTTAATAATAACCAAAAAATAGTAGAGCAGCCATAATACCTAACCTTTCAGGACAACAAATGATTTTATAGCTTTGATAATCTTTTAAGCTTTGATAATCTCTTTAATGACCTCAATAGTAGCTTTAAGAGTCTTTTATAGGAGTCATGAAATAACAGTCATATGATATCCCAACGTCACTTAGATCAGCCAATACTGAATTTTCAAAACATAATTGAATCAGGGATTGTATAATTAAATCACCAATTCTGCATATCAACAACAAGCAACAGCAGCCTCATATCATCTGAAAATCGCATTTATTCAATTGATTTTAGCTAAAATTTTAGCTAAACTTTTGAAGCCTTTCATATGAATAAGAAAAACCTAGCTAATTTTTAACTTGAACACTGAATAACATAGATTTACTATTAAAAAGCTAAAATCTGAAAATGGAGATATGAATACAAGATTGACATAGATATTTTTGTTTTTATAGCAAAAAACAAAACTTTAATGACTTGACCTTAAAATGCTTAAACAGACTCCACACTTTATTAAAATGATTTGTTTTTTGTCAAACATATTATAGACGAATAAATAAATCTTTAATAAAAGAAAAGAAAACTCAGTCAACTATTGAAGGTGAAAAATATAAGTCACTTTTTAAGACTGAATTTTTTAAAAGTCATTAAGTAGGATATTTAATCTGCAAAATATTTAAAGGATGGCCATGCCTATAATTTTTAAATTAATGCAACATTCTGTCCTATGATAATTACAATTAATAAATGGAAATAGTCCTAGCTAATATTGACCTACTTTCGATTCAAAATGGCTTCTCAAACACCTTTAGCATTTCAGGCATGGTACTTGAGCAAACTATGCCAGACAACATTCTATTAGGACATATGTATCTATAGATCCTAAAATGTTTGTTGAAGTTAATAATATGTTACAATTTTGAAGTTTGAGGGAATCAAATACAGACACAATATCCTTGCATTGTAAATAGGGTCGCAGTGACATAAATTCAAAATGGCATTCTCCAGTAGCTTTCTTTCTCTCATTTTAACACTATATCAAAATACAAATCTTTATATTAAGTGAAATCAGTATAGTTGTCAATGGGAAGTTGAGGCAACACAAATAGATAAAATATTTGAACATACCGCTCCTTTAAAAAGTTAGTGAAAAAATAGATTTAGAAGTCAATGACCTCACTGATAAGAAAAGACGCCTTAACAACTTACTATTTAATCACAATTATTCTATTTCTATTTATCCTTACTTGAGATTAATAGAGTTCAAATTGAGATTTTTCACAATAAAATTTGAACTGCGTCAATATTATATGTATTTCCTATTTTTGAGAAATTGTGTCTAGGGGGCCAGAAATTTGGGTATTTCAAAAAGGGTTCAGTATGATGCCTTTTCACACCTTTATTGAAGATAAACTCGAAACCCTATCTCAAGTAACATTGCAAGTACATAATATACTGCATTTTACTTTTAAAGTTTTTTACCCCCGTGTGAGCATGTATCATCTGGTAGATAAATCAGATCTCAAAGTAGCTCAGTATATATGTACACATGTACAGTAAAACCTGTCTAATATGAATGCCTCTGGGACTGGCCAAAAGATTATCAAATGTTCATTTCATGGTTTACAAACAAATGCAATGAGACAAAATAAAGTTGGGATACAGGAAAAGTGTTCACATTGAGAGGTGTTCAGATTAGAGAGGTGTTCGCATATACAGGTTTCACTGTAGGTACTAGCTTATACAGTTAGGCTGTCAGATCAATCTAATTAATGGTTTTATTAACCTCTCAGCTAAAATAAGATACATGATTATTGATAAACAATCGGCATAACTTTGTTGTCTTTCTCAAATGGTTTGATTTATATGCATTGAGGTGATTACATGTGTATTTTTAAATTTCAGAAGTTCATTTTATCACCCATGTCTATTTATATTCTGTACTATCTATACATTTATTTGTTTATGAGATTTTAATGAAAATCCTTTGCCTCACAGAGTGAAATATTTGAAATATTCACATTTTAATTGGTCACTCCAAATCGCTCCTCTATTTAGAGTTTTACTTTGAATTCATATTACAAAAAAACAATGTTTTATGACAAAATATTCATATCATATTATCTATTATACCTACTATAAATAGTACATGTGGTTCTCATCAAATGGGTTGATAGAATGAACATTCAATGGGTGAAAAGAATGAACACTCAATGGGTGAAAAGAATGAACACTCAAAGGGTTAAAAGAATGAACACTCTATGGGTTAATAGAATGAACACTCAGTGGGTGAAAATAATGAACACTCAATTGGTGAAAAGAATGAACACTCAATGGGTGAAAAGAATGAACACTCAATGGGTTAAAAGAATGAACACTTAATGGGTTTATCAGATGATAACTCAATGGGTTTATCGAATGAACACTCAATACTAAATTAACAAGCTACTTGTGTACTTCAAACACAGAGAGTTCTTAATCGTATTATGTTAACTGCATAATAATGATAATACAAGAATAATGTTAAATATAGAATAAACAACACTTGATCTTTGATAGTTTTGCACAATCAAATTAAACTTGCTCAATTAGGGATAACCTCCTTAAAGTTTTAACCCCCACTGACTTGCCTCCCTGTAATGAATAATATTTCAATTGTCGCATCCCCAGATCTTCAGCCATTTTGTTAATGTGAATATTTTTTTCAGGTGAACATGGTGATGATGCACACAAACATTGGGGATACCATGGAGATGTGGGTATGTATCATAATTGAGAATACTACTCATTTGTAACACCCATGATTATACTGAAATTATTAAATGCCCATGGGCATTACAAATGAAAGAAGAATTTTTGTGCCTTTTTGTGCTACTCTAAAAACGTTTGGTTTACACCCAGAGTAACGATCGAGTACCATGAAAATATGGAAATGTCATCGGAGACATTTACATCTTGATTCTCATGGTTTCAATTGCTCCTACTTCAACCTTGGAAATCGAAGAAGGGTCTCCATATATTGTTTAAATATATGTCAATCATTCAGGATTTATGGAGACATTTTAATCAGACTGTCAAAAATGTATACATACAACTGTTATTTATGAAACAATAAAACATATATGAAGGGAAACTGTATATAAAACACTCAAGCTACACTGAGATTATTCAGAAAATATATTTTTCTTTTGCCTAAAACAAATTGTTACATGCTAAATCCTTACAATGATACAATGCAATTCATGCATGGTTTCACAATTTAAGCATGGGTTTTTATGCATTAATCCGTTACTGCTTCATAAACAATAGATCTACATTTTTATTTTATGTCTCCAGTTCATAGGTTTCTGGCATGAAAATGAATTTATTGGGTTTGTAATATGCACCTTACTTGCCGAGTTCAATGAACCCTCTGCTTTTAGAAATTATAAATATGAATGTAAAACTGAGCTCCAAGAATAAACAAGGTGCGTCTACATGTCTAAGGGTGTATCGCATATAAAGTTTCCACCTCAATATTTTCACCAAATCATCAAACATTCGCTGGTATTGCTTGAACTATCTATCTTTACATCTTCCATCAATAAATAAGTAAGAAGATTTCTACTTGATAACATTTTTTTCTTAAAGTCTACTTTGACTACTTGACTTTTGGGTATTCTACTACCCCAATTTTCTTTATCAACCATGTTTAAGAATATAATAATTGCATTTTTCAAATTTCAACCTACAACAAACTTTTCTTGCAGAGATAGATAAAAGAGCTTTTTTTTGTTCTTAATCTGTGATTATACTTGTTTTTCAAAATCCAAAAACTTTAAAGTACAGTACCTAGTTCAAGAAAATGTAGATTTAACATGTTTGTCCCTATAATTCATCAATTTTGGCAACAGCAAATACACTAATCAATCTCAGTAGGTATCTTACAGATTTCTGCATTTAGAATCATTACCTACTGTTTACCTTTTGGAGATCTTTGCAATTTTGAGATACTTAAGAATGATAACTAACATGTTGACATGTGGAGAAACTGAGCAACTACTTGCAATTTTGTCACTTTCTATGTCTGTAATTGTCGCTTAAGGGTAAGGGTTTCTTATTTTTACTCAATTCTCAGGTTATTCTGACCTTAAGCCTACATGCAGTTTCAACATATGGTAAACATTATTACATGACTGAAGACAATGATGTGTATTTGAGACATTAATTCAATCAAAATACCGCAGTCTACTTATAATACAAAAATTGCTTTAACCCTGCTATCAGCGAAACAATTAATAATATCATTTTATCTGATGGATACTAAATATGTATGGGGATAACAACAAAAGATAATTTTGGTATGTGCCACTAAAATCGTATCTGACTCATATGACGTCTTAAAAATAGTATCTGTCCGATCCCTCAAAAATCATAGGATATCCTCTATATATCTGGTTATGTTAAACATATAATTTTCTAGGCCCAAAACACTGGCCTGATTTGGAAAAGGGAGCAGCATGTGGTAGTGAATACAAGTACCAGTCCCCAATCAACGTTGAGTCAGACAATACAATCTACAGTCCCCATTTGAGGAAGTTCTTCACATGGTATGACCCACCTAAACCAACAGACAGAATGAGCCTAATCAACAATGGCCATACAGGTAATGTCATAAATACAGTAAAACCTGCATATTATGGACATTTTTTACCAAGAAAAACATTCAGTGTTGGTAGGTGTTTGCTATAGAGAGGGTAATTTATATAGAAGTTTGTAGAGTATATGCCGAGGCATGGTGTCCACTAAAGACAGGTGTTCACTAGAGAGAGGTGTTCATCAAGACTTACTGTATTAGCTTCTTCGACAATGGTTATATGGGTCATATGCAAAAAGAATAGAAGCCTTAATACTGGCCTAATTTCAGCTTTGTTATTGGACACCCATATACCTTTTTTCTCAAACAATTTAGTTTGACACAACACAAACCTTTTGAACTCCTTCAACTTTTCAAATGATCATTTAATAGTCGCTGTATATAATAACAGTATAATAACATGCAATTGAGCGGCAAAACATGATATGGCTTGACACAAGATACAACGGTTGGATTGAGTTCAAAATGTCATGTATGTCTGCAATGGGATGTTCAGGGGCATATTAATGGTGGAAGATATCATTTATAAACTGAACATTAATTGCAATATTTTATTCAATTTTAAAAAAAATCAATCAAATTTCACTTTTATAATTCTGTTATGTGTTCATTGTGAACACTCACTTGAATGCAAATCGATTTATTTTAAGTGACTAACTGAACACTAATCTAGCTAGTAATATAGTATCATCCTATACAAAATTTGAATCAGAAGCATATTATGCAAATCATATAGTAAATACTGTATATTAACATGCATCCGTTTTATGCAGAGAAATGTTTATTTTTGCATTGCTTTGATATTTTCTCACATTTAAATGTTAACTTAATTCTTATATTCTTTGCTTTTTAGTGCAATTAAACATTGATGGTGATTATTTTGTGACCGGTGGGGGCTTGATAGGTGTCTATGAAGCCCTACAGCTTCATTTCCATTGGGGGTCCGTAGATGCCCAGGGTTCGGAGCATACACTAAATGGCAAAGCCTTCCCCTTAGAGGTATTTATCTAATCCTATAATTTCACACCAAGAGGTACAACTGAACTTGGCCAAATTTTAAACAAAATTGGCGAGCTAATTCTTAATAATATATGTTTTTTATTAACGTTTTGACACTAAACTGCACGTCTTCCATCTGATGATTGACATGTCTTACCTCAATGACAGCTGGTTGACCATGTAAAAAGGAGACAGCAAAAATTCTCACATTAGGGGGTTGGAAAGTATACTTTTAAACACACTTGACCTTGACCTGTAAAAACTAATAGTTCAAATCATAGATTATAATTTCTTACTGATTTTTACCAATTTTAAAATTTACGTGACTTTATTCATCACAAAACATTAAAACTTCAATAATATATTTCATTTTGTTACAGATGCACATCGTGACATATAATACAAAGAAATACCAGAATGCGGGAGAGGCACTTGCCTCAAATGACCACAGTGCTTTGGCTGTATTGGGGGTGTGGTTTGAGGTAGGCCTTTAAGACAAACAACACTCACTGATTACTTTCTGAAAGAAGTCAACTCCATTAATACTACTACTTATTGATCACCCCTCGTACTTCTACTTATTGATCACCATGTACGAGGGTTGTTCAATAAAAATTCATATAAATGCTCTCATTTTCATGTTCATCTTCAAATTAAGTTAACATTTTTGAAGGTTATATTTACTTATTATAATGATCTTTTTCTGCAGATGAGTGACACAGATAATGAATATGTTCAAGCAGTTTTGGATCACCTTGCCGATGTTGAAAATCCAAGTGCTGGTAAAGATTTTCATTTATTTTTGAAATATTATTTTTCCTGGATAACGATTACAAACTTGGAATAGAAACATAGATCATTGATTCTCAGAATCTCAGCGCCATTGATTTTCATTATTCGAGTAACCTACTCAAACTCTGGGTGATGGGTTGTCATGGTAACCTAGGAGTAGGGGGTGCAGGGCAGGTGCAGAACAGTTATCTTAAATATGCCCAAAAAGTCTAACAATTCTCTGATTTAATGAAAAACAGCATGGAATATGTGAGATATGCGAAGCTTTCAGGATCTAGCTAAGATGTATGTTAGATAAAACCAGGCTTGAACCTGATTATGTAATCTAAAACGGATATGAACATACCTATTTTTAAGCCTTCTAATTCATTGAACCCAACCATTCCTTCCATTCTGCACAGTTAGCAGTGTCTTAAACCAGAACCATTCCATTCCCTTCTTAACCATAATATATATGATCACCAATGTCTTAACCAAAAGCAACAGAATCTTTTTTTAGAATAAGTTTTGTTAATGATCTGATCTTACTTTTCTCCCTATCTTCATAAGGAAGCACTGCAAAGTATCAATACAGTTTAAAAAAGCGTTACATCTACATCTACAGTTCAATCTCACTCCTACTGACTTGCTATTGAACCCCTGGGATGAACATACTTAAGTTTGTTAATCTTAGCTATGTAGATGGGGGATGTTGATGCAGCATTTGCGAATGATATTTCAACAAACCAGCTTTTTTGGATTGGCCAAGATATTTAATATACGTGTATATATGCCTAGAGAAACTATAAGCATGAATATTTATATTTACGGTATACTTATTTATTTCTAGATGCTAGCAGCGAAGTGGCAGCTTTTGCTCTGAAGCATGTTCTACCGAAGGACATAGAATCTTTCTATCGTTACTATGGTTCCCTAACAACACCTACATGCAACGAAGTTGTAGAATGGACTCTCTTCAAAGAAACAGTACCAATTTCTGAAGGCCAGGTAAGTTTTTTCTTATTTGTTAGTTGTTTTTTTTTGTATTTGGTTGTTTGTTTCCATGTAAGATTTCATATTTTCTGAGTATACTTCTGTAAATATTGTGATTCATATTGTTTGCACTACATGTATGTAAGTGTTATACCTCTTGTCACTACATAAAATATAGATCACTGTCTGATAATATACAGTATATTTGCCAGTCAACAATAAGATCATGAATTGTTTCATAATTTTTATATTTTATTGGCCTATATACTGTATACTATATAATTTCATGCCATTATATTAGAAAACAGAATAATTTGTATTGAAAGTGCTGCCAAGAAATAGTTTTCGCATCAAATCAAAATATTTTTCTAAAAAAAAACATATACCAAAAATTGCTAATTCTAAAAATAATATCTCTTTTAATTTTCAGTTGGTTCAGTTGCGTTCTGTATTCAGCAATGAGATGAATGAAGACGGTAATCCTATAGCAATGGGTGACAATTATCGACCAACGCAGCCGTTAAATGGACGCAATGTTCTCCGCAGTTTCTTAACAGAAAAAGAAGCGAAAGAGCATGGAAGAAAGCCAGTTTTGTATAATGTTGATGGGGCAGCCTCAAACACAGCACTCTCTATATCTTTATTATTAAGTGTTCTTTTAATGAAATTTCTGTTTTGATATCTTAACATAGCATAGGGTATAATAGACTTTGATCATAATGTCTCGATGGATTTATTTTGTTTTGAAACATACATAATGAAAATAAGGTAATAAACTGCCGATAATATGGACATTTACAAATGTAGCCAAAGGTTTAGTTATGCATTAAGCATTTGCACTATCACACCCAACATGAGGGAATAGGGAACGGGTGGCCCAAGCCTTGATACCAGACTATCAATGGTTTATACAGATACGTCAACATTATGGACATTTATATACATATCAATGGGTTGCAACTCTCTCAATATCCCAAAATATGTCTCAAAATGTAACCTACTTTTAATATGAGAAAATATAATACTTGTTAGGGAGAATAAGTTAATCTTATATATTCAACTATTATATGCTCTCAGGTCAGTATATATTTCTCTATAGCAATGCTGTACAGTATACCTTCACTTTCCTTGTAAGTGTTTTTACACATACACTGCCATCTTCAAATATACGAGATCGGTCAGTCTGTTTTTACATAGAGCATCATTTTGATCAAAGCTACAGTATATTGCATTATTATGTAAAACTTATCATCCATGTATATGTTTATTGTTTAATATACTATGTAAATTATAACACCATAAATAAGGATTTTATATTTCAACTTACATTCATTATTCTGTATCATAGCATCAGGAATTGCACAGTCAAGTATTTAATGACACTTGATGTCAAATGACACTTGATGTCATATGACACTCAATGTAATGTCAAAATGTAAAAAAGGTGTTTATATTTTGGTGTATCTGACAGGCTGGATTAAGAGCAAGGTGGGATAATGATTGATGTTGAGGGTGTGATATAAAAGGTTTTGAAAGTGGGGGGTGAGACTTTATGGGTGAGAGGTGACAGAATAGTGGTGAGAAAGGTCAAAGATGGAGGATGGAGGTCAAAGATGCGAAGGCGAGAAAGGCTGGTGCATTGTGGGTAACAGAGTTATGAGGGGTGGGAGAAGCTGGGGGTTAAAGACTAAGTGTAAGAGATGGCCAGGATATGAAGGTAAAGCTGAGGAAAGTCTTAATACAAATTAAATTGTGTATGATGTACTTTGTACTTCAAATTACTTCAAAGATAAATTGTATATTGTAAGTCACATATGTAATGTAAAAACACATGTACAGTATATTAATAGCATTTTAAATCCCTCAAGGACCGGGTCAATATTGAGATGCTGTCTAAAAAGGAATTAATTACCTCTCAAAAAATATGCAATTGAATTTTATTGATTTCTAACGAATAAAATAAAATAAAAAATAAAAAATGATATACAGGGTCCAAAATGTACAAATGAAATAGACTCAACCTACCCATTTTTTAATTTATTAATTATGTTTAATTGTGATCAAAACAGGATAGGTTGCATCAATCTATTGACCTTGTCTCTGAGATAGTTTACAAATCAATCAAAAGTAGTTCTATAAATAAATATATATGTTATCAATAGTTTTCAAAATAATAGTATAGTAAATGATGAATACTGTTATCTTGTTTAAAACATGTTAGTTACAAATCAGTTATTCTGATTAAACTGACATCATGTGATGAAATGTTATTTGTAATGACATTGAGCATGTCAGTTTTAAACAAGTAAAAGTATAAACTGACATCAAACTAAGCAATAAGTCAATTGTACTCTTAAATCATCAAATAATTACACTTTAAGTTTATAAATAAATAAACACTATATAGTATTTTATAAAATAAACTTTTGTTATCATTGTCATAGGACGGTGTATGTAAGTTCAAATGCCCTATTTTGATTATGCCCTTGATGCTTTAATCCTTGATTTACTATACCCTTCATCTATATGCCCTAAAATGGTCCAGATATGCCCTTGATTTATGTACCCTCTGTTTATATGCCCTTGTTTGTTTCACAGATTTGATATCATGTCCAACCAACAATCACATACTAACCATGGAAGTCACCCCAATTTTTGCCAATTTGAAGTGATAATTTGCCCAAGGAGAATCCAACATCTGTCTAAATATGAAAAAACAATAGTCTACATTTTAACTAAGAGCCAGCATGGCTGATTTCTCTAATGTAAGGCCTTACTAAAATTGATGAAATCTCAGAGAAAATATAAACTATTCACTGGTAGAAAAGATGTCTCTGATACAATAAATGTATAAGTAGTAGTAGTGTAGATGCTGTTTTTGATGCCACTAATTCAGCCGCATCTGCCATCTTTTTAAGTTTAAACCGAAAGATCATGTCATCATGAAATAGAAAGCATGCAATCTGCATTCTACAGTACAATACCCCATCTATAACACACTGCAATATATATAAAATTATTAGAATTGTAAAAATAAACAATTTTTCATTTTTTATGTATATATACTAATTTGATAATTGCAATGTCATTTGCTTTTTATAATTTTAATAATTCGATATCATTTTCTCAGCTCACCTTGTATTGATGTCAATGTGTAAATTGAAAAAATAAAAGTCACGAAAGACATCCTCTATACAGTATCTGATATTCTTTTAAAATGCTCTATACAGAATATCTGAAAAACATTCATGAACCAGAACATTGCTGTAATACAGAATCAACCTTTTTTGTTTTCCCTGAAGTAATCAATCTTCATTTTACTTTACATGTTCTTGGGAACAAGGGCTAATAGATATTGATAGTGCACTTTAACACAAACACAATGCATTAATATAACACTATAGATACTCAAGTTCAAGGCCAAAAATCTCAGCTCAAGATATGGAGACTTGTCTTATGATGAATTGGACTTACATTCAAGCATCTTATAATATATGAATGTTTTCATATGGAATTAATGGCCTAGTCACATAGCCCGGCCGATGTCCGGCATCGGTAGAGCTCGGTGGATTTTTTTGGTGCCACCGAGCTCTCCTCATCGGAGACAGAGCTCGGTGACGTGAACGGACTCCGTCCGGACATCTTCAGGTACTATACTTTCCAAGGCTCTGTCCCACATCGGCCGGAGCTCGGTCGGAGCTCGGCCGGTGTCCGTTAAAAAAACCTCGTCCTCTGGTTGTCTCAGATGCACGGGACACCGACCGGTGAAAATTGCATCGCTGGCTCATCGGAACCTCATCGGCCGGGCTATGTGACTAGGCCATAACACACATTTTTTAGAAGTTAACAAAGAAGAAATATAGCTAGATATGAAGTCTACTTTCAATTTTTCACAAACAACCAGATAATCAAATCAGTTTAATAACAGCATTGTCAGGTAATTAGAATGCTCCAGACAGCATACAAAAAATGTGTTTTTAATGAAAAGGTGTCAATGCTCCATCTGAGACACTTTTTGTGGCTGTATACCAGACTAAGATTTGAAGTATGGATATTAACTGCTCAAAGTTACAAACACAAACAGCATTTATCAATCTGAAATCGTACCATTTGGTACTTTAAGAGTATGGTACCATACAGTACTGTTTCAGTATGGTGCCGTAAAGTATTAACAGTACCATATGGTACTGTCTATGGTACAGTGCAGTACAATATTTTATGGTTCTGTACAGTACTGTGTAGCCATAATGGTACGATATAGTACTGTTAGAGATTGGCTGTTTACAATTCTTTTGATTAATGTCTAATATCAATTTAGAAGTCTTAATGCTCTGACCTCCACAAAGTGATGATTGGCTAAGTTCTAAAATTGGGTTGAACATCATTTTTAGAGAGAATAATCATAGGTATAGGAATAAGATATATACTGAAGCAGGCTGCCAACAGCACCAGTCATCCTTTTGAGATCCAAGATAACCTCCTAAATTACAGATTTTATAGGGGGATTTATACCCTCTTTGAAAAACTGATATTAAGGAACTTACAATCAAAACAAGACAATTTTTCATTTTACTTATGTCAAATAACACTATGAAATGTCAAAGTAAATATCACTATTGAAAAATAGCATCGTCCAATGTTATGTAACTCTAGTTAATCAAAGCAGATTGTCTCAAATGTAGTTCATATTTTCTCGTAGCTCATATATTATTGATGATGAAGAACATTTCATGATGAAATGTAAAAAATATCAAAATGATTATTACTTCAAACTGAATTATCTGATACGGCAAAATCACAAACAAATCAATTTATATACCTCTTAACTTGTTTGAATCAAGATTGCATCAAGGTTGCAAAATATATTAGTGATGCCTTCCGAATTTTAGAAAGTAATACTTAATTAAGAACTTAGGCTGAATCCTGCTGCGCAAAAACATTTTGTAGTAACACATATTTTACATTTTACAGTTAGGCATATAGTATATGTACATGTAGTATACATGTATAGTAGTCTAGTGTTAAATCATATATATTCTTTTTATGTATTACACTTTCTTGTTCCTGACCCTCAGGGGTGTGAATGTACTCAATAAATATTCTATTCTATAAGCTCATATAGAGCAGGGCCATATCCAGCCTTTGTCAAAGTGGATCAGTTTTCAAATTATTCCAGGGAGGGGGTCACATTTGACAACTTTGGCCCAAAATCACTTGATCACAGTACTTAGAATGATGAAAAACTAGTCATTTGGATTTAAGACCTAACTAACATGTCTCATTTATAACAGAAACATTTGTAGGTGTTTGTTCTTCTTAAGACTTTGGGAATTGTTTGTACCTAAATTTGGATCACCGTGGCAAAGTTTTACCTTTTAATAGGATCTTTAGAGATCTCTTAAATATCTAGATTTAACATAATAAAAATCTTCAGATCTTTTTCTGATGACACAATCAAGTCTAATAATAATTCATTTTTATCTATCAAGAAGTAAACATATTCAATTCAAACATCAGGTGTAGCATGAGTGACAAGGAGGATTAGTCTGAACGAATTACATTTGCATAAGTTTATTAAATACAAACTTGAGATAAGTCCTCATTTATCATATTTATGTCAATTCTAAACCAGTTAAAGGATAAATATCATATTTCATGTGTACTGTAAGCTTGCTATTTATCTCTGTCTCTGGTACTTGAATTACAACATTTAAAAAAGCACTATTCTCTAGTCTCACATTGTGGTTTTCATTTGTCCAAAATTGTTGATGGACAGATAGCCAGATGGACAGATGGATGGACAGACACACAAGTGGGCATGTAAAAATAGCCCCATTCTCTAGTCTCACATTGTGTTTGATCCTGATTGTTCTCAACACAAATTGCAACATATATAACTTCATTTGGGAATAGTATAAATGGTACAGATATGCATTCTATGGGAAAATTTAACAGACAGATAGCCAGATGGACAGGACAGGATGGACAGACACACAAGTGGGCGATTCCATATGCTCCCAAGCTTACCATGTAAGCCAACATGGGACCAACATGGTTATGATCAAAATAAGACAACTTAAACACCTCAATTACCTATTCTAAAAGTGCAAATGATAATCACCTTACTGAAAACCACCAAGTTCATTGTTAAGGCAGTTTTTAAACCTAAATCCTTGTTTGACAATGATTTGCATAAAATTGAAACACTGACATTTGCTGAACCCCATTTCTCAAAATCTGTCCATCCTCCTTTCATCCCTGGAGTAATCCTTGAAGATTATCATCTTCTGGGAGACAAGAGATTATCTGGATTAACAGGTATCTTTGTTGATCCTTACCCTGATATTTCTTGACTTGCCACACGACCCTCTAGCAACAACATATGATTTCAAGAAA